AAAAAAAATTATAGGAAGTTCATACTTTTACAAGTGTGAAAAGGGTTTCTTTTTATTTCATTTAAAGAGCTTGAACATGATCAGAAAAATCGTTCTAATCTATCGCATAAACATTCCATCGGTACATATAAAAATGTTCGCATATAGTTTCGAATGAAGGAACAAAACCTGTTGACAGAAGACATACTTTATTACGAATTGCATAATCATATTCATCTGAATTTTGTGAATAATAACATGTCGCACGATAAAGTATCGCAAAATGTATAACATAAGAATTTACGATATCTTCAACATAATATAACATAACAAGTACAAGTTTAACGTATTTGAATAATCTTTTCCTTTATACTACAGATATTTACAATGAGCTCGCAGGATCAGAAAAAATAATTTTCATATAACCCGATACAATTATACTTTGTGCTCAAATATATCTTTTTACTATTTCTACTTTACAATTACAATCACCTATGTTAATATCCATGGCTTTGTATTAATTGTAGATTTATATATCTGATAAATATCGTTGCATATTAATGAACAAACTTGTTGCACAATCGGTTTAAAACTTAAATTATACTTCATATGTATAGAAGTAAATACAGTCCCCCTCACGCGAAGAGGAAGCATACAAAATCGATAATGAAATGAAGTAACTTTACGTACTTTCGTCCATGATCTCACAGGTTTTTCGAGCTAATAATATCAGATGGAGAATATTCTACAAGTATTGACGTTTTAAGAGATTGTTTTACGTTACACAGAGATTATGTCTTTTAAATGCTGTGAAAAAGTAAAAGACAATTATTACACCGAGATGTTAACAGTATCTTATAATGCGATGTAAATGTTAACATTGATTGTCCGTGTTTATCAATTACACTGAATTCATTAATTCTATTAACTCGAAAAGAACATAGAGAATATAAAGAAGGTAATTCACAAATATGCCATATATATATGAAAGCAGCTTTACGATAAATAAAAGTCCCTTCTTCTAATTCAGCGCATATAGATTACGTCGATTTGATTTTCTATTTTCTATTTATAATTGTTATGTGCACTTGTCATACCCAATCGTCTACTTCGTCAAAAGCATCCGTTACGCACAAAGTATGCTGTCAATATAACATGACAAATCATTCGAGTATATTCCTCTTTTCTTTTTCAATTTCAGTGATTAAATTGTTAAAATTTAATGTCGATATCGTAGTAATATATTTTGCATCGAGTATAAAATCTTACTTAATCTTATTTATACTTACACAAATTCTGTACATATAACTTGAAGCTGAAGGCGCACCCTTTACAGCACTCCTTCCTTTCTGACTATAATATAGACATAAAGACTTTACAAATACATTGAATATCTGATTAAAAACACGTAACATTTTTGGTACCAAGTTTCGTTGGTGAATGTTTTTCATCACTATCACCGAGATCCATACCAAATGGCACAGAATTCCAAATGGCTTTGTCGCTTTGATCGTCCTCTTCGTTCAGAATATTGCACATCATGCGATCATCGTAGAGCGAGAATCGCGCCGTTGATTGCGTACGGCCACGAATTTTCCTAACAGACGGCGGCAAATCGCCTGGTGTTTTTATTCTCATATGCGGGTCCTTCAGCGCATTGTTTATGTTGGACCCCACATTAAAGACCTCGTTAAATTTATCTATGCTCTCTTGCCTGCTTAGATTATTTTCCCGCTTTTTGTTTCTTAAATTTACAAGTGGCAAAGTGGAAGGACGCGCGTTAGATGTGTTATCATTCTCATACTGCTTTTGCTTCCCCGTTTGTGCGGTATTTTTGTCATTCTTCTCCGCTGGCATCGCCGAAGTTGAAGTCTTACCAATGATACCATTCACATACTTGCCCCCAGGCGAGATTGTTACGTTCGTTTCAACAGTTTTAATCTGGATATTTTGCTTCGACAATAGATTTGACTTAGAATCCTCCCTGTCTATTTGGTATCTGCTGTACGGATACAATATTTTCTTGTTGATGAGCAATTTCTTTAAATTGGGCCAGGCAAATAATCTCTTTCGCGGGCTCTCTTGAAGACACGTATCCTGTATATTCGTCTGCTTCCTCTTGCCGTACGAAGACGAGCCTTCGTCGGAAATAACATTTTGAACATACGGTATGGGCGTCGCCGGCCTGAGCTGCGTTAACTGTGTCGTATGTTGACTTAAGTAATCGTGCGAAACTAAGCCTTGCGCTTCTGTACCAGTTTTGTATTGATCGTTACACGCATGCTTCAGCGATTTATCGACGAGAACGTTACCGTTACAGCCCAAGTCTTCCAACGAATCCGATTGTAGCATTAAGTTTCTTTCCATGCACGGATTTCTGCCTTGATACGGCTGAAGCGTCTGAATATGGTTATACGACGCTACTTCGTTTGAATTTTTGACTGAAAACGGATTATCGAAAAATATGATTATACGAATATAAAGCGAGCAGCGCAACTGACAACAATTACTTACAACTGTGTTCGTGAGCAACGCTGTCAGATGGTGATAATGTAACTAAGTTTTCAGCTATTGCACTGTCGTTTGTATTACTATCTTGCATCATATTCAATGCAAGTTGAACAACATGTACATTGTCATGATGCGAGGACTCACTATAAAGACTGTTTGTCGTTGAAGGCACTAAGGTGCAGTGAGAATTCACCATTGGACTTCCATCGGTAAAGTGCGTTGTTACTGCAATTTATTAATTTTCCTCTCAGAGAATGTAAAAATCGTACGGTGTGCTAAATGTTGGTGAATGCATTACCACGATGAGACTGCAGTTCCGAAAGTCGTTCTTCTATACACAATGCAGTTAAACGAGCTTCAGCATCAGCGTCCCAGCAATCTTCTATAGTTTCCTTGATCAAACGCACTCCTGGTCTATCTACTAAGTTACCCTCTAAAAGTGGTCGGGCTTTATTACGCGACACCAAGACTTGCATCTGTTCGAACGTTGGATGAAGACCTAGGGGGATCATAAAAATATAAACCTAATAGCCTCGGGATAGCAATGGATATACGTTGTGATTTTAAGAAACACGTTTCATACTAACCAATTTCGTTTTCGTACGGCTGTTTGTATTGCGGCACGTCTGACCCAGGGATGTAAATGTCGGAACATCTTGTAACCAGTTCCCAAAGGACCAAGCCCATTGCATAAACATCTATCTGTTTCAAAGAACTTTCGCAGTCGCGTAAATTAACAGCACCGTCCAGCACTTCTGGCGCCATGTATCTCAGAGTACCCACCTGAGATGACAGGTTTTGATAGAGATTGAATTGTAGACGATAAAATCTTACTGTTGGCTATTTGGACACTCACGTCGTTAATTGATTTCAATTCGGCATGTTGCTCCTCTCCATTAGAATAATACTTGGATCCAGAGATTTGAACCGCCAAACCCAAATCACAAATACAGCAGGTACCGTCAGCTTTAATTAATATGTTTCTTGAATTTATATCCCTATGTGCAATGCACGGCTTGAACTTGTCTGGAAATTAATATTTAAATAAATGCGTTAATACTAGAACACCTCATTATAATTTTATGAAAAAATGTCTCGAGTATCTTTACGCTTTCTGAGCAAACAGTATGCAAATACGTACCGCCTTTGCGTATATCCGTGTGCAAATAAGCAAGTCCTTTAACTACAGAAAGACTCATTTTGCAAAACGTATTCCAGTCAATAGTGTGCGTTCGTAAGAATTCTGTCAAACTACCACCGGGAGCAAAACTCAATACCAAAAGATATTCAATACTACCTTCCATGCTTAATCTTTCGTCCACACCTATTACAAAAAATAAATTAAATTTTATATCCCGACGTTAAGCATTCAAATATTAAAAAAAAGAACACGTTTTCACATTATCGTTCCTTTGAACAATTCGCCCTAAGTTCGGTAAAAATAATGCCAACCATAATAGCTTAACAGTGACGGATGCTCCATAAAAGGTAGGCAGTAAGTGTCTCTTTCATTCTGAAAATAATTGCGGTAGTGCGATGGATATATTTTAACTGCAACATCTTGATCCCCCATACTGCCCTGCCAGACTGATCCATATCGTCCTTGGCCTGCAATTAGAATACGATTAGAGGGTAAAGTTTCATCGCAATATTCTACACGGACGGAAATCCTTGATCAATTTGATCAAGAGTACTTGGATACGTACCCACAATGTTTGCAAGTTTCAAGTGGTCAACTGTGTAAGTACCAGTTCTCAATGCAGTACTATCCATGAAGTGATCGTTGTAAGACAACGGCTTTCCTAATCTTAATAAAATATTGTTGTGATACGTTCTGTATATAATCATCGCTATCGTACATGTTACTAGTAATGTACACGCTATGACGATTACTATAACGAGAATCCATCGTTCAGAGTTTGACTGTTCGAGATATTCTGTAGCTGGAAAATATTGCAAAAAGCATTTCTAAAGTAAAACAACTTGTTCACTCATCGCTTCTACAAAATATTAAGCCACCAACAAACGCAGTTTATTTTACTCTGTAGTAATTGACAGTTGCTATCGAGGGGGAAACCGCTGAGGGCATTGTGGCGTGCAGACTTGCGGCATTACTGGGCATTGGTTTGAGCAATGGGCCTTGCTGGGGCGTTATAAAGATAAAATAAGATGATGAGACAAAGTAATGCCCACTGGGCATTGGTGGGCATTGGGGTACAGGAATTTGGTCAGCGGTTTCCCCCTCGGTTGCTATTAATGTTATCTTACTTGGCTGACTTTTTTGTGAAGAAAGAGGGTTGACTATCTTGTTATCCGAATCGACAAGGTTGGAGCTCGTAATATTGAGATTACAAAAGTCTCCGTGACAGCAGCAAAATTTTGTATTGTTCAAAGCTTTCGTGGATCTCTCGAGCGCGACGCACTCTGTGTTCTCGCATTTTTGCTCGCCGGACTGTTTCCAACAACCTAGTCCGCATCAAGCAACAACATTTTAATTGCACGCTGTTCACGAAACCGAACACACATTTCTTTTGAATTAACTCCTACGCGATATATACCTTGAGACAAAATGGTGATCTCAGTGCCATTTGCAGTTTTATCTTCTTGCCACAAGGCATGGCAGAAATTATTACATATCTCAAATTTTACGTCGTCGCTTATCTGAAAACAGTGTCGAGAAATATCAAATATCATCCGAAACATTTCGCAATTAACGCCAACGTAATATTTACAACTAAAGCCAACGGCACGCGACACTATTCTTCCCCATTGGAGCCAGTCAGGATTTAGCCTCAGGTCACTCCGATTGGCTGTCGCAAGCAACCCAGTGGAAAAAAAATTGTATCGTGTGCCGCTGGCTTAATACTCTTTCGTCTACTAGGTGATCCGTTAAATAAATATATAATAAGCTTCGCGTAATTTTGCATTTCTTTGACAAAAGCCCATTGGCCCGTAAATTCCTTTTGTCGCACGACGTACATTATTATGGTCGTTGGATGTTTCCTCAGGTACGCCTGCTGAATTCTGCTTCGAAGAGAGAGTCTCAACGTTTTTCTTTCTACTGGCACATCTCCTAATGGCATTGATAGGGGCTAAGCTTATGCCACACAGCAGTGTGATCAGCGCGACTGATACAATGGCTCTCATTGTGCTTTAGCAGGCCTCTTGAACCAGAACCACTTCAACAGAAGCAGAGCTCCTTAAGAATTGGCATCTTTCATCGCGGTAATACACAACGGCGCCGTTGAGATTCCGAGTTCATCTGCTGGTCGTGCGCAATGCGGGGAAAAAAGTAAGCTTCATAAATAATTGATAAAAACTTTAAAACGTACGTTAAAAAATATGGCACGTATATCACGGCCTCTCCTCTCAATTTGCTCTCAACGACACGGGACAATTATTTCAGAAAACGTTACCGATCTCTATTTGCTACCGAGGACAATGAAAGCGCAGTGCAACCTGCGTTTGACGGAGTCGTCGCGCATCAAGTTGCACCCGAGGTTGCACCGTTTCCCGACCAACGTCGGTCCACGTGTCGGACATTCAATAACGTAGACTTGTATCACGCAACTTATTATTTTTTTTTTTATTATCAACGCGAATATATAAACATGACGCGTGTACTCAACGGATGCCGTTCTTTTGCGTCGTATACGTGTCAATTCTCAGATCCAATTCCTGCGAACGGCGCGCGGTGATCCCCGCGGGCGCTCGAGCCCTCCCGTGACGTCGCGCGACGCGGACGTCCCGTCCGCGGCGTGCACGCCCGATTAATCGGAGGCTCCTTCGCGCGGAATCAGGCGGACGCGGTCGCTATCGAGCGGCCGGGAGGCGGTCGCGGGGCAGCGAAGAAACGGCCCGGGAACGGACGCGCTCGACGGCTGGGAGTTGACGCGCGTCGCGGCGAGGTGCGCGTCCGGGACTCCCGTCGCACGCGTCCCGCGGGAAATCCGCGAGAGCGGAAAGAGGGAACCGAGCAGTCCGAGCACGGGAGCGAGACAGAGAGAGGGAGGGAGGGAGAGAGCGCACGACATGCATTAGAAACGAAGCGGCACGCACTTACGTTCTGCTCGACGGTCCTCCTGGAAGTCCGTTGCGGTTCGCGCGCGTTATCGGGCCCGTCGTCGTGGACGCGACATCGCACCATCCCCTCAAAACGCCGCCGAGCGCATTCGCGAGGAGCGTCGCGTGAATACTCGCAGATCTGACAGGCAGCCCGTGTCCAACGAGTCGCGTCCCGAACGGCGCGTTCGCGAACGCATCGGCGGCGGCGTCGCATGCCCCGACCCCCCCCGGAGAGTTCGAGCCAGATGGCGCCGGTCGCCGCGCGCGGCCACTGGGTGCGAGGCGACTGGTCGGCCGCGACGCACGCCGCGGCCAATCGGCGCTCGCGCGTCCGGCCGCTCCGATCAATCGCGCTCGTTCCACTTTGCGCGGGTAGCACCGCCACTCGCTGGCGCGCTCCGCCAATCGGGGCCGAGCGTCGTGTCCCCGCTGCGTGCTCTGTTGCGTGTTTTCGCTATTTGTCCTGCAAATGGCGGTTGTCGCGGTGTTTGGTGCGATGTGTCCTCGCGGTTAACTACGCCACACCGCGCTCAGTGCATCACTCGGCGGACGCGAGCGTGCGACGGTGCGAGGGCCGGTGCCGCGAACGGCGGATCACTCGCCATCATGGTGAAGCTACAGAAGAGATTCTACGCCGGCGACAAGGTGTTCGCCAAAGTTCGAGGTTACCCGCCATGGCCAGCCAAGGTGAGTTGCGTTGTCGGGGACGCGACGCTGCCCGCGAGCCGAGACGGACGCCCGCGCCGTCGCCGGCGACTACGCCCGGTGCGGTGACGTAAATTATTCGCAGGTTGCGGAACCGAGAGTCGCGTTTGTCGCGCGCGGGCCACGTCCCTCGAGGGGAAGCCGCGCGGTTCTCGCGTGTCTCGGCGAGGAAAGCGCGGGATCCCCGCGCGCGACAACGTCGCGACGACGACGTCCGCCGAGTGGGCACGTCACCGCCACCGCGTCAATTGCCGTCGAGTTCAATTGTATTTCTTGTAAGTTATTAGTCTCCGATCGTATCTGTCGACGCGGACGGTTCGTAATTCCGCGCGGAGAAGCGCCTCGGTCTTGGCCGGCGTGCATCAAAGGTCACCGCGCGTGCCGCCTCATCTGTTTGTATGTCGCTTCAATTGTTTGCAGGTTGAGAAAGTCAACGATCCAAACTCCAAGAACGCTCGATACAGCGTTTACTTTTATGGAACAGGAGAGACGTGAGTAGCATGCATTCCTAAATGAGCACCGTCAAAGGGTATTTTTACGCGACGATAATATTATCATTGTGACACGTCCAATCTTGCAGAGCCGTCTGTAAGGTCGAGGAGTTGTACACATATGCCGAAAATAAAGAAAAATACGGCAAACCCAACCGACGAAAGTTCTTTCATGAAGGCATACAGCAGCTCGAGCAAGAACTTAAAAACGACAGAAACCAGCCTTTGGCAGATATCGCTGCTATTAAAGGTAACATTTTGCAATTCTGTAATGCAGACGAATATTTCGTAAAGCCTGAATTGATTGAGCAAGAATCTTTTTGCTCCAGTGAATTAATAGACAACTTATTTTGTCCAAAGGTGCCGAGACGACGGAGCTGCCAGCTGCCAGCGCTACCGACAGTGACATGGAAACTGGTTCTTTAGTAATAGACGAAGGAGAGAAGAAGAAACCTGTCAAGAGGAAAGCTCTTACAGCCACCTCTAATACTCCGGTAAGCATCTCTTGTCTCTTGCTGCTCGCACGAAAGCAATACTTTGGGAGTATAAACATTTGCTTTGCAATACTGTGCGAGCGAACAGTTATTGACAAATGTACTCCAAGAGGAATGTAGGAACTGCTGACGGACATTTTTTAAGCTCAAATAGTTTGTGCGATTGTTCCTTACACTTTTACACACGTGATTCTGTATAGCTGTACAATGTAGCCACATATATATATGTATATTTGGATATATAATGAGTACACGTAACAATGTAGCAAGATACTCCTGAAGTGAAGAAAAAACGTGGTAGAGGAAAAGCTGCGAACGACACGTCAAAACAAGAGGCTGCATTGGATTCGCAAGGCGAGGAGTCCCCTAAAGAGGTGGTCAGCCGCAGTGGGCGTAAGATCAAACCAAAACGATTTGCAGACTTTTCGAGTTCAGATGAAACCGAAACCAATACAGGTAAGAGCCCTGTACTTACGACAATCTTTTGTTACGGTATACGATTTTCTTTTTCTGCAACTTTAGGAGCAAACGAATATAAATAATAAATTATTCGATAACCTACTTTTCAAATTAACGTTTAAATATTGTTACTTGAAACTTTTAGTTTTTATACCATTGTTTCAAGTGATTTAGCCGAAACATTTCGCCGAAACATTCATCATGTTCCAATTGTTAGATGTAAATGTTCACTGTCGATGTCACATCCATGCTGTTATTCGTTGCAAAATAAAAAAATTGGCTTCTCTGATAATAACTAATATTTAAAGGCAGGAGCACAGTAATGAGACTTTCTACAGCATCAGAATTAATGGTGGATGAAGAAACGCAGACTTCATCAGAAATATTTGAAAAATATCCAAGCCTTAAGGAATCCAATGAAACTCGGAATATGTCTACAAAACAATTAAAGAGATTAGTTCTGTTGGAACAGTTGTCGTTAATTCGCATACAAAAATCTAAATTTCTGTCTGTTAATGTATCTCTCACATAATTTTTCATAATTTTTCTCTGTAACTGTATATCTCAGATAATTAATTAATAAAATCTCACAACATTTGGTTTTTTGAAAATACTGTTTATCTGTTTATGTCCCTACTATTTTACAATAGGTAGTTCCATGTTGAATTATTTCTCTATTGTTTCAGGGAAATGTGTATAATTGTTCTTTTTTTCTGGAAAAATTAATGTCCAAGTTTATTTGTAAAAAAGGTCAATTATTTACATATTTGTGTTTAAATTAATACGATTGTAAATTGTGTCTGTTTAGAACATTCTGGTCGAGGTCGTAAAGCGAAAAACGAAGACTCTAATGAGCATCAAATGACACCAAATGTGACGCATAAAAAAAGAGCGGCTATCGAAAGTAGGCACTTGTGTAGATAACTTTTGCATTCCTATTAATTTCTTAAAGTGATAATTTGTTGAGAGATACCGTTTATCCAATTTACAGAAAGAAATAATGAAGCTTCGATTCTCGATGGAACCGTAGTATCGAGTGGAACATCTTCCGACACATCCAGTAGAGTTCTCTTAGCTCGTACATTTGCCGGGGAGCACGTAGGTATTAAGCTGGACATAGACAGGCCAAAGTCTTTCGAGAGTGAAAAAGCTCGAGCGCAATGGGATTGGACAACGGCTAGGAATGCCATGAAACTCAAGACACAATTAGAGAGCGGTGAAATTTTGCCAGAACAAGTGAAAGATTCTTTAGACTTCAATGTACCCGTGCCGGAAGACGAGAAACGGCTTTTGACAAAAGACGGAGCTGTTCATCGCAAAACATACAAACTGAGGTATGGAATCGTTTAGCATACTCTCAATGCGTTTATTTTAGAATTTACTAAGTGCTTACAACAAGTGGCTTTTTAGATGGCTTCGTATAGAGGCTCAACTTCTACAACTAGATGCTCAAATCAAATCTAATCTTGGACTGGATCGAGCCAATACAGATAAATGTTTACAAGCCATGGATGATATCTTGGCTCTTCCAATTGATCCTTTAATGCTGAAGAAACATCCTCACATTGTTGAAACAGTGAAAAGGGTAAAGCAGTCAAATTTTTTAAATAATTTTGCAATATTGCATACTTTTTTTCACTAATTCGTCTTTTATTTTAGCTGCGGCGATATATTGGAAACATAGGAGAGTGGAAATTAAGCGAGGAGGATGGGGTATGTATAAAACGGACATGCTTGTGTGATTATATTGTAACGCTTGTGGAATACACAATACTCTATTATTTTTATTCTACTATAATAGACATAATTCTTTGTAGATTATCTTTAAGCAAAAAGCGGAGCAGATTAGACAAAAAGCTGAGCACATATACAACAAATATAAGGTAATGTATTACAAGTAGAAATGAAAATCTAATTATTTAAATCTATTTCTTTTGTTGTATACTTATTTAATAAAAAATATATAGGCTATGTTTACTATACCTGAGGGTCAATCGTTTTGGCAATCATTTTCCGATCAAGTTGTCCATTTCAAGAAATTGACCAAAGATATGCCCGAAGAGAAAGTATTTTCACTGATGTCTGATCCTGCTTGTTCAGGTAATTTTGCTAAACGTACGTTCAATAAGTATATTAAGCAATTGGATCTACAAATCTCCTTAAGATAGTTTTACAAGGGTCAGAGATTATACGTTGAGATTAAAAAATGTATTTTGTGACGTGTATTTTTATTAATATTGACATATAGACACGGGTATATCGGAGGATTTACCTGCACATGATAGCGGTAATCAACTGGACGCAGATTCAATGACTGAAACGGAGCTCATAGTACAACCAGAACAAAAAGCAGAACGCGAACGAAAATCAGAAACGGAAGCTGAGCTGGAACCAAAAGCGAATGCAGAGACCGAACCAACATCACAAGCGGAGTCAGAACCGATTGCTGAAAGGGAAGTAGAAGCAGAAGTGCCTACTAGAAGTGAGAGTCCTAAGAATGAAGCAGCCAAGTAACATATGTAAACTTTTTTATCTGATAATATAAACTTTTGCTTATTTTCTTGTATATCTTGTATTACGGTACTAAAAAAAAGCATATTATAATTATGAAGTACATCGGGCGCATTCATAAAGCAATTTCTTAGTTAATATGATTTTTTATGGTCCTCTCATTCATGTAGAAAATTATCGTTTTAACAATGCATTCTTACGGATGTGACTTCCACGATAATTACGGGGAATATGATTAAATTCAGTACAATGTGACTGATTTGGCAAAATGTAAAATATGTCCTTTATCACACACCTTTATTACCTACAGCAAAGTCATACAGGCATGAGCAATTGTGTGATGGATATTATTGAAATTTAACTAAACAGCTGACTGTCAATTTCTGTTCTATAAAATTGTCTCAGCAAGTCAAGTTGCTAAGTCAGTACTTTTATCTTTGTAAACAAGTTAGAGGGATTAAAACTGTTCATTTGAAAGAGTATTACCTTCCATAAAATTACGCTGATCGATGTCTCACTGATTGAATTAATTTTTTTCCTGAAATCCAATTTGACTAAACAAAACGAAAATAGCTACTAGATGGAAAGCTTATAGCGCATTCGGTTGCTTGTATTAGTACGCACTGAGTTCATACTAAGGCTTGTTTACAGTCAATTTTTATATTAAAGAATCGTCTTAAATATTTCTTAAAATATTTTGCAGCCAGTAAAATGATCTCTATTGGATCTATATGGATCATTTTTTGACTAAATACTCTTTGAATATGTATCCAAGACAAAGTTAAACATAAAAAATTTACTATAAACTGACCTTAGTGCGCACTCAGAGTGCACTAGTGCAAGCAATCGAATTCGCTATTACTATTTCAAATCAGCAGCTTTTAATCCCTCTAACCTGTTTCCTTACAGAGAAAAAAAAGCAATGATTAAAGGAGTTTAAGCGCCTAGTGTTAGATTCAGTGTTTAGGATTAAGCACATGAATTAACGGTTGAAAGGCAATCACACAAAAGGGTAAACTTGAAAGAAAAAGAGATTAAACAATGACTCATCCTTATGTCTTGCTGGGACAACCTAATATACCTGAGTTTATTATATAAGTACATATATGTATATGTACTATATATTTATTTTTTTAAATCCTTACTATTTAACGAAAGTATAAAACAAAATTATCTCACACATATAAACACGCAAATAGCTGTTGTCACAATAATGCTGGTAATGTTACTAAATGAAGAATTAAAAGTCATAAGAATATTTTTAACCGATTCTGTGAATGCGATCGATAGCACTTTGCGCATATGGAAAATAATCTTTTCAACGAACTCTGTTATATTTTATTTCATGAATTTGTGAGCAAATATTCACATTGAATGATCGCAATACACTTGTATTATTACTTGATGCAATGTCTGCAATCACTAACTGGACAATATCAGGCAAACATTCAACTATCAGAAGATAGTATTGAATAAAAATGGCTGATGTAGTAGATAAAATTATATGAGACAAATAGTATTTTTACTTGATAGTAGCATACTATCATGTATCCAAATACTATCTTTATATATTCAGCCAGTGCCATGGAAGGAAATTGTAAAGAGCACGTAAACACTGTTATTGTCACACACAACTTACTTATTTAGTTATTATAATTGATGTTAGCAAAATAAATACAATATTGCATAAGAATTATAGCGCAATGAACGATACAGATATTATTCTTAGTACCTGCATTTAATGCAAGTTCTTCATCTTTATCGAATTTTAGTTTTTTTTTTCATTACATGGAAACATTACTCGTATTCATCGCATTTTAAAGATAAAAATAAAAATATGTATTATTATTGTATGCCAATGTTTCTTTAACAATATTTATGATATGATATAAATATAATTGTTCGTAAAATATTGTCAATCTTCTATTTCGTATGATTGAATTAGCACTGTCTTCTTCAAAATCGTTGCTATTACAATAAAATTGTAAAGTGCTTGTGAACCGATATCGAAATTGTACAAATTAGATAAGTTAACAAACGATTTTCGGACATTATCACATCTTTATCGTGGGTGACATGGCAATTACTATAAAAACTTAATGATTGGTAAGTATGAAACCTTAATTAATTTTGTATAATTAATAACACATATCCGATATTGGAGAAAATGTCAGAAATTAACTATGTAATTTTTGTATCGAAATGTTTTTGTCGAAAATTAAAATAAACTATTATAGCATTATGGCGTCGAATATATTTTATCTGTAGACTTGTGTAGACCGCACATTTATACATATGCGACAGCTGATAATAACATTGAAATTGAAGGACAGGAAATATGTGTGGCCAAAAACATAATATATATAAAAATGTGAGAATAAGACAAAAATAATGCACATCTCTTTCTAAAAAGAAAAAAAGGCGGTTGTCTCTTCTTTTTCCTTCTTCCAATTGCATAAAAAAACTCAAACGTTTTCTCTTTTTTTTTTGTTAACTACCATTTTTCGTTTTCGGTGAAGCCCGCATTCTTTTTGAATCTATAATTTTATCCTATAATTAAAAAATAAATTTCCACAAGAACAAAGCAAAGGTGTTTAATTAAATTTAAGTTCAATTATAGTTAAATATATATTTAATAACCACAAAATAATTATAACTGTATATTGATAAATACAAATTTGTAAAGGTATTCTTGTTAATAAAATTACACATGTAAAATTATGACTTATTTCAGGCCGGTTAGAAAGTCTTATTGTATTTTATGCAACTGGGGTGTCTCAAAACACCAAGACTTTCTGACCAACCTAATAATAAACATTATTATTCGATTATTTTTATTGTAGTCACACTCACTTTTCCCATTTACAAAATTGTTTTAAATATTTGTATTTGCATTTATTTTTTGACCAACATTGACGTTATATATTGGGAAAAAAATTGACCAATGCACTGCCAACACGACCAATGTTTAACCAATGTTAGCCAATGTATAGCCGATGAATTGTGCTTCTAGGGAGGCGCTTATGCGCAAAGGCAAGGCCTATGCAATTTGTGGAGGTTTCAAATATATATAAAGTAACTATTAATGTAACTATTAAATTAGTTACTAGTTATTGAAAAAATGTAATTGAGTTAAGTTACAGTTGCAGATGGAGAGATAGTAACGAAGTTAAGTTAGAGTTGCCAAAAAGAAGTAACAGTAACTGTAACTTCGTTACAAGTAACGAGTTACTTCCCAACCCTGGATTTACTCACGTTACAGCATCTAAGGAATTCACAATCGTTTGTAAATGCAGTTAATTAATTATTTATAATTCTCACCTACTATTTTTTGTTTTAAGAAAACTGATTCACGCAAAACCCCGCTTTACCAAATTCATCACTGTAAAACTTCAACAAAAGTTAATTAATTATTAAAAGTATTAAACTGAACGATAGCTTGCTTTAATTAAAATTGTTTTGTTCATTAATTTAATTCAGTATTAGTTTCACAGTTATCCTCTTATTTGTTTATTGTTAATTATTTAATTAAAATGATTGATAATATTGTCACTATATTTTCCAACAATTGAAGAGCTCAACTGTTTTCATAGAAACATTCTCATTACCGAGAAAGTATGATGTAAATGTCTGATTTATAATGTGTACAGAACTTGCACATTAAGCAGATACTGTAGAATAGATTCATTAGTATATAATTTGAACTCGAGTGTATCTTGCTTTAACGTATAACTTGATAAGTTTGATGGATAGACTAGACTCTAAATCAATAGTTGTACAATTAGTTTACAATTCAAATATGCACTGAGAAAAATTTCCATCGGATAAACCAATTAAATAGTGTCTCCGGTGGTTTATTTTTCCGATTAAATTATGGATAAATCCGATGAAATCTGATTTAAAAGCCAATTACATCTTTCATCGGATATACAATTTAATCGGATGTACCCGTTTGTTATTATGTAATTGGATTATCCGATTATATTTAATCGGACATTTTTCCCAGTGTATAATTTATTTATACACAAATAGCGTTGACATAATGTTGACACCGTTGAATGTGTAAGTAATGCAATTATGCGGAATTGTTACTTCAAGTCCATTAATTAGCATGCGATAATCTAACTAACATATTTCAGTTAGAGAAAATACGCCGAACGTATGCCGTATTTTTATCGTATCATATATATCATGTCACGTGTACAGGCAATAAACGGGATGTCACTAACAATACGTAACGTAACACACGCGCTGGCAATCGGCTATTTTCATCGCGGGATCCGTGACGGCTGATATAGAGCTGAAATATTGACTTTACGTCCTTTATCACGTTCATGACGTTCGTAAACTTAATATTTAATAATGTTTTGCATATACGATGCTTGCGAGAAAGGCATTCGCGGAAGCATCGTTGCGTATGCTCAGTGACACTTCGTAAGAATAAAGCGTAATGTAGACTCGAGTGCACGTAGATTTGCCAGACTCGCAATTGGTCGTACATGACGTTCACACGATCCCGGTTAATTTGGATTCAGAACAACTGGAAAGAAAGATACCGATAAAATAAACCACTTAAATTATTAATTTATGAATAATTCACGCGCTAAACAAGACTTCGAGTGTGTAAGCTTTAAAAGATTTTATACACGGATGTCTTGTAAAAGAAAGCATTCTATCGAGAAAACCGAATTCAAATATAGAAGAAATATTTAAAAATTATTATGAAACAATGCGTGTGAATATGCATAAATTGACAAGTTGTAATAAAGGAGAGAAGTAGATATTAACTCCAAGTTAAGTAAGATATTAATCATAAGATATGGAAGAAGAGAATCGTTGCAAGAATGTCGTCGATTCGGTTAGGAATTTATTCTTCGTGGATGTCAACAAAATCAGCAATTTCTTCAAAAGTCTAAGCAAAGGGAACGTCACCGCGGAAACGAATAATAAACGGAAAGTGATGAAAATAAAATCAGAGTCGCATCAAGACTCGTTTTGGATGCTTAAAATGTCGATAACATTTTTCAAGCTCATCGGTCTCGCTACGTTATCCCGTCATAGCGTCATCACGCGGGAAAAGAAAACGCCATTCACATTTCAGCACTCGAAATTTGGGATCATTTACAATGTCGCATTGAGTATCTTAGTGCTCGCCTCGAACTACCTCTCGGTACCGTTCAGGCTTACTGTGGAATATGCGAATAAGTCAAACTTGACCATAAGCATCGAGATTGTACAAGCTATACTTGGCTCCCTAGTAACTTGTGCGATTTTATTCAGCTACTGCATCAATCAAAAGTTATTGGTACGAATTGCTAATCAATTAGTGGACATCGAACACGAAATGGATCGTCTCTACCGTCTGTATCGTCCGCTGCGACGACAGCGTACCTTCTGCGCTCTGATCAACCTCTGCATCTTGAAGATTTGCCTGTTGATTCTTCTTGTCATTACCGATTTCCTGGCCTTCCACACGAGCCCGGTCTCCTGGTTGTCGGACATTATGCCGACGTTTCACGTGGGTTGGCTGTTGATACAGTACTTCATGTTGGCCACGATCGTTCACGCGGATTTCGTCGATGTGAATCAAGCGATACAGAGCCTAACCAGACCCGGCACTCCTGATCTTCGGCCGCAATCTCTCTCCGAAACGCGTCGTGTGGTGATTAGCAATTCCATCGTTCATCAACTGCTGCCATTGCGAGATATGCACTGTCACCTTTGCGAGATTTCCGAGGACATATCGGACTTCTATTCACTACCAGTACTCTTCGGCATTGCTTTTCTCTTTCTGACGCTCATATTTAACGGCTACTATCTTCTCTCGCCTCTATTGATATCCAGCCAAACCTTAGAGTACGAGGTTCTCAGTAACACTATTATCTGGTTAATATTCCTCATCTATCCCATTTCTCTCCTCGCTAACAGAATTACCAAGATTGTGAACGAGGTAGGATCATCGGTGTGATAACAAGCTCGACTTTGTGTTTTGATCACGTTATTTCAATCGATCAACAGAATATTTCAATAAAGATTTACAAAGTTGCGTGGCATTGTTCCAATTGTAAATTTATTTTAGGTCGGGAAAACGGGCAATGTGATACATGGTCTTTTAAGCTGCTTGATTAGCAAAGAGACGAAGTCAGAGGTAAGGCACAAAGTCGTGTGAAACTTTCTCAGGAGCGGTACCGAATGTAATCATATTTATCATAGATCTGTTACAGGTCAAGCATTTTTCCCTTCAATTGTTACATCGCAAAGTACAGTTCACAGCGAACGGATATTTCGCACTTGACAACAATTTTCTTCATTCGGTGAGAATATTTAGAATGTCGTGCGAGTGGTTGAATATAATAAGTTACATTTTCTGAAGCAATAATTTTGATTATTAGCTGGTCGGCACGGTGGCGACGTATTTGGTGATACTTGTGCAATTTCAAATGGGAAGCTCGTGCTCGTCAAGACCACAGTGTAATTGTACAAGGCAAGATTTGTTAAGAGCGAAATAATAAATTAAAAATAAAAACAGTTATAATATGTACCGTGTTTCTTAACTTGGTATCAAACATTCATTTAGATCGACATGCCGAATTGTAGCTAATTTCCTATCGTAACCTTCTGATGCATTCGGTCAATTCTAATTTGCAGAACTAAACATTGAAACAATAAGTCAATAAATTAACAAAGCCAATGCGGATTGAGCAGGACTTCGGGTAGTCCAATGGTTTAATTGTGTAAATTTTTATATACTGTTTTCATAACGTCCTGCGCGCTGAGTATTGTCGGTCTTAAAACGCAGATTCTTTGATATAACAGTAAAAAAAAATATATATATGTTTCTTATTAAAGTTAAATATCCGGTATTATGAAACATAGCAGTAAGATGTAATTCTAGTATAGATTTCTAATGTGAATTGTTTTCTTTAACGCTACCATCCATTGTTCATCATTTCTTTTTTTACAAAGACATCGTAACGATTGTATTCAGCGTACGAAACGCAATTTTATAAATGTTTCGAGGATGATGTTCCATATTTTCATTAGTTTCATTGTTTCATAATATTAAAAGGCTGCTTTCATCTAAGTTGTAAGATAATTATATTTGTCGAAATCACACACAAAGTAAAATTAATATTTTAGGATTAGTAGATATGTAATATATTTATCTATACACAGTACATTTTCTTTCTATTATTTTTCTATTATTAGGTTTCAGAATAGCCTACGCAGTTCTTAGCTTTCGAGATGTTAATATTATAATTAGAAAGAATGAATAAAAAATATTCAAGTGTAATTTTCTTAAGGAATGGTATTAGTCAAATTTCTTTCTTTTTTAATATGAACCGCTGTATTACAACATTTGCTAGTAATAACGTATGAGATATCCCTCGAAGGTAGTATTGATATACATGTTGTAGGATTTTTTTGGCATATACATGCGTAATATACGCGCCAGCAATCGGTTTTTCTTATCGCGGAATCCATGTCAACTGATACACGGCTAAAATATCGATTTTATGTTCTTTATTACACGTTTATGACTTTTGAAAATTTAATGTTTAATGATGTTTTGCATACTTGATGTCAGCAAGAAAGGTATTTGCGAAAGCATCGCTGTGTATGTCCAGTTCCACTTGGTAAGAATAAAGCGTAATATAGACTCGTCTGCATGGATTTACCAAATTTGCAATTGGTAGTATATGACGTTCAATCAATCGCAATTAATTTGGATTCAGAGCAACTGGCAAGATAGACATCGATAAAATAAAACGACAAAAAGTCATCACTTCATGAATTATGCATGTGCGAAACTTTTTAACGTACAAGATTTAAAGTGGGTAAATTGAAACAAATCTCTACGCGCGGGTGCCATGTAAGAGAAAATAGTGTACCAAGGAAACAGAATTAAAATATGGAAAATATTTATAAATCATTATGAAACAATGCATGTGACCACACATAAATCGACGAGGAATAATGAAGAAGATGCCAGTAAAATCACCAAACTCCACAGAAATCTAAATAAAGACAATGCCATTGCGGAAGAAGTTAATAAACATAAAGCGAGCAAAGTAAAATCAGAACCGCATCAAGGTTCATTTTGGATGCTCAGGATATTAATAATGTTTTTCAAATTCCTGGGTCTCGCCGCGTTTGCCCACCATATCATCACGCGGAAAAAGCGACTGACAAACACATTTCAGTACTCCCAACTTGGGATCGTTTACAATGTCGTATTGTGTAGTTTACTGATTGCCTCGACCTATCTGTCGATACCGTACATACTTCATTTGGATTATGAGAATAAGTCTAACTTGACCACAGGCATCGAGATTCTGCAAGGTATACTTGGCACCATCGTGATGTGCGCGATTTTACTCAGCTTTTGCATCGATCAGAAGTCCCTGGTGAGGATCGCCAATCGATTAGTAGACATCGAACACGAAATGGATCGTCTGTATCATCTGTATCGTCCGCTGCGACGACAACGTATCTTTCATGCTCTGATTATCGTCTGCGTCTTGAAGATTTTTCTGCTCATTTCCCTCGTGTCCACCGAGCACTTGGCCTTCGACACGGGTCCGGTCTCCTGGATGTCGGATATTATGCCGACATTTCACGTGGGTTGGCTGTTGATGCAATACTACCTGTTAGTCTCGATCATTCAGGCGGATTTTGTTGATGTGAATCAAGCGATAGAGAGTCTGACCAGTGCCAGCACACCTGATCATCAACCGCAGTCTCTCAATCAAACGCGTCGCGTTGTTGTCGGCAATTCCACCGTTCATCAATTGCTGCAACTGCAAAATGTGCACTGTCACCTGTGTGAAATTTCCGAGGATGTGTCAGAATTCTATTCACTGCCGGTATTGTTCGGCTTTGCTTTTCTCTTTCTGACACTCATATATAACGGCTACTATCTTCTCTCGCCTTTGCTGATGACCGACGAAATCTTAGAGTACGTGGTACTCAGTAATACTATTATCTGGTTAATATTCCTCATCTATCCCATTTCTCTCCTCACCAACAGAATTACTAGGTTTTTGAATGAGGTAGGATAATCGGTATGATAACCAGCTTTATTTTGTATTTAGTTTTGAGCGGATTATTTTAATTGTACAACCGAATACTTTTATCAGTAAATAAAACCCCCGAACGTTTTACAAAATTGCGCGGCATTTTTTCAGTCACAAATTTATTTTAGGTGAGCAAAACGGGCAGCGTGGTACATAGTCTTTTAAGCTGCACGATCGGCAAAGAGACGAAGTCAGAGGTAGGACATAAAATAACGTGAAACCTTCTCAGGAATAATACTCAACGTTACGTCATTTATCATAGATTTGTTGCAGCTTAAGCAATTTTCGCTACAATTGTTACATCGCAAGTTAGAGTTTACAGCTAACGGATACTTCGCGCTCGATAATAGTTTTTTCCATTCGGTGAGAATATTTGGAGTGTCATAATCATAGTCTAATATAAGCAATATCTTTTTAATTAATAATTTTGGTTATCAGCTGATCGGCACGGTGGCGACTTACTTGGTGATACTTGTGCAATTTCAAATGGGGAGCTCGTGTTCGTCAAATCCTGAATGCAATTGTACAAAGGAAGATTTGTCAAAAGTCGAATAATAAATTGGAAATAAAAACAGTCATAATGTGTACACAGGCAGGCAGGAATGCCACACATTTTTATAATGTATTTTATAATTGTAGAAATATCCAGGCATTCCTGCCTGTCTGTTTACCGTGTTTCTTGAATCGGTGTCAAAAATTTATTTAGGTGGTATCGGCATGTGCCAAATTGTAGCTAATTTCTTATTGTAACCCTCAAATGTATTCGATCAATTCGAATCTGTAGAACCTGAATTTAAATATGAAAAATTTAAATCTATACATTAAGGAAGCCGATGTGATTTGAGCAGGATGTAGTTGGTCCGATTTTGTGAAAATTTTTATATACTGCTTTCATCATGTCCTGCACGTTGAATATTGTCAGTCTTATAATGCAGTTTCTTTGATATATAATAGTAAAATATATGATACAAATATTAATTAAATATTACATGTATTATATATTACGTTAATATTATTTTACATGAACAAACATTATATCAAATTAATGAAAATTCGTATGCTCAAATGTAATAAACACAAATTTGAATTAGGAATAAAGGACTAAAAGCCGTAACAGGGCGTTAGTGTCTAAATATTTCGTATGTTAAATTTATTGCGAAAAATATCACCTCAGCCAGGGTTTGAATCTGAAATTGGTTGTAGACGCCCATCTAGTGAGAGGGAGTTCCAGGTTCAAACCCTGGTGGAGGGGTGATAGTTTTCGGAATAAATTTAAAGTATGAACCGATATTTGACAACAATTGCTAGCAGTAACGAATGAGATATCCCTCGAAGGAAGTATTGGTATACATGTGGCAGGGTTTCTTTGGCACATACATACGTAACATACGCGCTAACAATCTGCTATTCTCATCGGGATCCGTGTCGACTGATACAAGGCTGAAATATCGATTTTATGTTCTTTATCACACGTTTATGACTGTTACAAATTTAATGTTTAATGATGTTTTGCATACTTGATGCCTGCGAGAAAGACATTTGCGGAAGCATCGCTGCGTATGCTCAGTTGCACTTCGTAAGAATGAAGCGTAATATATAGAGACTTGTGCACATAGATTTACCAGATTTGCAATTGGTCGTATATGACGTTAAAACAATCGCAATTAATTTGGATTCAGAGCAACTGGAAATATAGATATCGATAAAATAAAACGATTACCCCTTGAATTATCACTTTATGAACGATGCATGTGCAAAACATTTTAACATGCGAGATTTAAAGTGGGTAAATTAAAAAAAATCTCTACGCACGGATGTCTTGCAAACAAAATATTGTATCAAGAAAACCGAATTAAAATATGGAAGATATTTGTAAATCGTTATGAAACAATGCATGTGAACATACATAAACTGACGAGAAATAATGAAGAAGATGTCAATAAGATCAGCAATATACTCAGAAATCTAAATAAAGACTATGCCATTACGGAAGAATTTAATAAACAGAAAGCGAGCAACGTAAAATCAGAACGACGTCAAGGTTCATCTTGGATGCTCAGAATATTGATAATGTTTTTCAAGATCATCGGCCTCGCCGCGTTTGCCCATCATATCATCGCGCGGAAAGAGAGACTGTCACACACATTTCAGTACTCCGGGCTTGGGATCGTTTACAATGTCGTATTATGTAGCTTAATGATCGCCTCAAACTATCTGTCGATACCGTACAGGCTTAAGTTGGAATATGAGAATAAATCAAACTTGACCACAGGCATCGAGGTCCTGCAAACTGTACTCGGCACCATGGTGATTTGCGCGATTTTACTCAGCTATAGTATCGATCAGAAGTCTCTGGTGAGGATCGCCAATCGATTAATAAACGTCGAACACGAAATGGATCATCTGTATCATCTGTATCGTCCGCTGCGACGACAACGTATCTTTCATGCTCTGACGATCGTCTGCGTGTGCAAGATTTTTCTGCTCATTTCCCTTCTGTCCACCGAGTACTTGGCCTTCCAGACGGGTCCGACCTCCTGGCTGACGGACATTCTGCCGACATTTCACGTGGGTTGGCTGTTGATGCAATACTACCTGTTAGTCTCGATCATTCAAGCGGATTTTGTTGATGTGAATCAAGCGATACAGAGTCTAACCAGAGCCAGCACTTCTAATCTTCGACCGCAGTCTCTCTGTCAAACGCGGCGTGTTATTGTCAGCAATTCCACCGTTCATCAACTGCTGCAATTGCGAGATATGCACTGCCACCTCTGTGAGATTTCCGAGGATGTGTCAGAATTCTATTCACTACCGATATTGTTCGGCTTTACTTTTCTCTTTCTGACACTCATATACAACGGCTACTATCTCATCTCGCCTTTGTTGATGACCGACGATATCTTAGAGTACGAGACTCTCAGTAATACAATTATCTGGATAATATTCCTGCTTTATCCTATTTCTCTCCTCACCAACAGAATTACTAGGTTTTTGATTGAGGTAGGAAAATTGGTATAATAGCAAGCTTTTATACAAGTAATTGTACAATAGAATACTTTTATCAGCAAATAAAATCCCGAGCGTTTTACAAAATTGCGAGGCATTGATTCAATCACAAATTTATTTTAGGTGAGAAAAACGGGCAGCGTGATACATGGTCTTTTAAGCCGCGCGATCGGGAAAGAGGCAAAGTCAGAGGTATGACACACGATCACATGACACTTTCTCAGGAACAATATTCAATATAACGTCATTTATCATAGATTTGTTGCAGCTTAAGCAATTTTCGCTACAATTGTTACATCGCAAGTTAGCGTTTACAGCTAACGGATACTTCGCTCTCGATAATAGTTTTCTTCATTCGGTGAGAATATTTAGATCGTCCTAGTCATAGTCTAATATAAGTAATAATTTTTTAATTGATAATTTTGGTTATCAGCTGATCGGCACGGTGGCGACTTACTTGGTGATACTTGTGCAATTTCAAATGGGGAGCTCGTGTTCGTCGAAACCTCAATGCAATTGTACGGGAGAAAATGTGTCATAAACAGAATAGTGTAGTGAAAATAAACAGCAGACATAATGTGTGCCGCTCACAATAAGTTTTTTAAATTGGCATATAAAATCAAATTAAATGTTATCGACACGCAAAACTGCACTGAGAAAAATATCCGATTAAATATAATCGGATAATCCAATTACATAATAACAAACGAATATATCCAATTAAATTGTGTATTCGATGAAAAATACGATCGGTTTTTCAATCAAATTTCATTGGATAAATTTCATCGAATGTATCCATAATTTAATCGGAAAAATTAACCATCGAAAACATTATTTAATAGGTGTATCCGATGAAAAGTTTTCTCACAATCAGTGTGCAGTAACGTCTTTTTGTATCCTGCTGATGTATTCGATCAGTTTTGATTTGCAGAGCTAAAAGATAAAAATGTAAGTAAACAGTGTACATAAATTATACATATTGTCAATTAATGTATATAAATTGAATACATTGTGTAAGTTATTTATTTAATATGTGTATAATGCATTGTAATAATTGAAAACGACGTCTGGCTAAACAGTACCTGGTATCACGGAGCATAGTTGTGAAATGGAATTGTACAGATTTGTAATGTAAATTTGTTAAAATATTATCAGCCATTGTTCATGATTTTTCTCACAAGAATATTTAAATTGACGATCTTAATTGATTAATAAATTTTTTTATATCACAAATTATGCTTTTATAACACCGATTCGAAAATATTTCGGGCAAATTATGAAACGCAAGCTTATTAAAAGTTTATCAAAAGTTAATTCGTCCAATACGAAATTCGCTTTTTAACGCCTCAGCTGTGTCACGAGTCTGTGTTTGGCTACGTATTTCGTAATGGGGAGGACAATAGTAAATTTTTTAATATTAATTGCACATTATTTATTTAAAGTAACACAGTATGGTTAAAGACATAATGACAGGCATCAGCTACTTTCCTTGTCAACTCGGAAACTCGGATAAGTTTCCGAGACGCATTCTTTCTTACCTAATCACAACCAATTAATACTACGTCGGCGATTATAGCCCATCCGTGAATTCGCTGCGATACGCATAAAACCTTGATCTTCGAATGAGAAGGTACACTTCTCTTAATTAATGCGCCGAAGATCACCATTGAATTGCACTAGCACACACATCATACATTTTTTATTCTCATACTATATATCCATAAATTTTACTATTTGCACGTTTATTTTTGCACCTAAGATTGCGATATACCTTCCACACTTCTTCGTATTTCTCTCATTACGATACGAAGCTCTAGCCTCGAAATGTTACACCATACCGAGTTGGTGTTGCAACCTCCACTTAACACAGATTTTATGCACAATTTCAAATGATTTATGTATATATGCGTGGACATGCTCTCTTTACGTGAAAATTTACTTAAAAGTATGCACGTCTATACTTTCCAATGCGATATAAATGTTTCGTATTGTTTTTACTGTAGGTCTTCTTTCGAGCATTCCTATGAATTAAATGTACATATTGTAAGATTTTTTTCTCCGTTGAAACATGTTTTTTCAAACTATCTGTTAGCAAAATGGCCGTATAAAAAAGTATATCGTATTTCGCCTATTTATTCTGCTTTCTAGGAATTTTATTATGAATATTTACGCCATAAATGATTGCATTTTGATAATTATAGCTGATTAGAGGAGTCAAGTTTTTACTGAAATCCTTCACCATCGATACATCTATCGCAGATCGTTTGAGAAATGATTTGCTCATTTTTCGATTTAGTAAATTCTTCAATGATTTATATTATCAGTTGGTTAATGCAAATATTCGGTCGGCAAGCTTCAAGTTAGTCATCTCTGTTATTTCATATTTTACTTACATAAGTTTAATATAAAACTTGGACTAGAATTTAACAAATTATTTTTCGCTAGAAACAAAGTTGGAAAATTATTCTTTTCAGGAATAACATATATATATATATATAATTTTTACTAAATTTTAAAATAATCTTAATTAACAAGCAACTATTTATATTCTCCAACTGAATATCTTCATCGATATCTAGTAAATAATTACAGGATTATTTATTACATATCGCAGACTGTACAGATTGATGGTATCTTTTCTTTTTAATTACGAACAACATCGGATATCCTTCAAGGGACTGTTTTTTTTTATCACTCTATACATCGCATGTATATCTTTATAATGTGAAAAATTTTCGTCAAAAATCTTGCAGTAAAGAAATTAATGTCACTATAATTAGAATATCGCAATATTGTCGCAATTGGGCGTGCCCAAATATTTAAAAAGTTATGATAATAGAGTTTGAAAATTGAACGCTCAAGATTTTGGTTAGACTGGAAATTTAATAAGTCGTAACAAAAATACATTATTTATTTTAGGTGTCTTTGAGAATAAACCTTTATCTAAACTAGAGTTATCAGTAAGAAAACTTTGTTTCATTTCAATTATCCTTTAGCGAGTGAGAGGCAATTTTAAAGAATTTTTCGAAGATTATCTTGAAGAGGATTGTTCCACAGTTCTATATTAAAAGGCCGCTTTCGTAAAAGTTGCAAGATAATAGTAGCTTCTAAAACCAAAAGTCAATATTACTTTACGACTTGGGGCTAAAGAGCAAATGATCTATACAGTTTATCTATACATGTAATATTTCTTTTTCTATTTTTAACTCACGAAATAGCTCCCACAGTTTTTGCCCCTCTAAGTTATCGTATTCATTGGAGAAATGAATAAAAACATCCCAGCGTAGTTTTCTTAATAATGATATTAGTCAGATTCGCATTCTTGTTAATATGCACCGCCATTTAGTAACAGTTGCTTGCAATAACGTATGAAATATCCCTCGAAGGATTGATATACGTATTACATATTGCGGGGTTTCTTTGGCATATACATGGTATGTGTGATTATAAAGTTACTTGAACTACTTAATTGTTACATGCAGAGTCATATATTATTGCATGATAACGCAATTCTTGCATCGAGTATAATCTTGCTTATTTTCCTATGATTCGTATAATATAAATCAGAATTTGGTAAATACGATGAATTTTAAATTGCAGCTGTCAGTGTTCAAATATTCCAATAATTACCACTGTACACACACTCGGATATTTGGCTCACGGTTTCTGGACATCTGCGCGATACTACGGTACTATTCTAGTACTATTTATTATACTATTTATTTCGTACATAACCATGGAGTGTAAATTACCGGTATTAATTATTCGAATATTTGAATGTATTGCAACTTGAATAATTCGCCAGAAAGAGCAATTTTCGTGAAAACTCAAATTTTACTTTGCAGTTCGCACTCCTCTTTTATAAATGCCACCATATTCGTTCGATGTCACATCACGATTCGGAAAAGTGTGCGTTTCTCACAAATTTCTAACACAAACGTGTCCTTATTGGCTCTATTGTAAACTTGTCCTATTGACATAAGTCAACAGGATGACACAAGTCAATAGACGTCGTCGATTTAAACTGTCTAAAGAAGTGTAGATCTTTTTAGATTTCACTTAGTATTTTACTTGCCGTCTACACTCACTTAAAACATGTATCTACTATACATCTTTATTATTTCGAAACATTTGTTTCCAATAATTCTTTTTCTTTCGTGTTTTGTGTTTCTCGCTATTCCTTGCAATTCGTATGCAATATTAACGAAGTATTGATTATTGCATAAATAACTACTAAAATTAACTGTTTTGTAACAATATGTATCGTTATTTTATCGGGCAGAATAGATGAGGTTTTATAAAATCACAATTGGATACTATTGGCAAATCTTGTTGAATTGTTTCTATGTACAAATACATTGAGACTATGCATGGCGGTTCTCATTTACAGTTGAGTATAAATTGTAGAGCACTCGCAAAGAGCGATGCCTATTGTTTACTGAATATAGTACAAATATAATACAATTATGAGTAATTGTTAAATGATAGAAATGAACATTGTATTTTTTGTAGGACATGAATTTTCAACAAATTAAGCAGTATTATCTATGACTTTTATGTCACGTAAATGGCAATTTGTAAGATAAAAATAGAGATCGCAGAACAAAAACTTCAGGATGAAAGTCTGGAAATTATCGATTAAAGAAACCTGTGTATCGCGTTAATATATGTTCATTTCTGCTATCTTCTTGTTAAACGGAAGTTTCTGCTGAGGTAGTACCATTTGCTTTTAAAGGACTGATGCTTTCCTTGGATCGTATTAAATCTACCTGAAATATTAAATTGATATATTTATTAATGTCTTTTTAAGTTAATCCTTTTAATACACTTTCCCTAAAGAAACAAGCAAGATAAAAAATTAAATTGCGTTAACTGATTTCATAAATTATCTAAGAAGGTATAACATTTTATGAAGAAAACTTACACGATTGCAAATATTGTATAATTAAAGAAGTATATGTTTCAAAATTATTTTATATGCTGTGCGATTTCGTTTAATTTTTTTATTTAACTATGAATAGTAATTTTATGGAACGGGTATATTACAAAAATATGAGGTAGTATTATAGGTATTTCGTATGCTATAGACATAACAATAATAAAAGACACACATATTATATAATAAAGATGTACATTTTTCGAAAATCATCTTTTGTGATGACTTATGGTGACATCTTTTTCTTCGTTGATACGCTAAATTATATCCTATAAATGATTAGTCTTAACGATTTTTTAAATAAATCTAGCATAATAAATTCATGCAACGGTAAAAAGTGACTAAAAGCAAAGACAGAAACATGCGATTAGATGTTTCCGTCTCATTTTACAAAGCTCAAGAACGACAAAAATTTACAAAATGAGAAAACGTCATTTCTGTTTCTTTGTAAAGTATATTCATTCGTATTTTTTTACTCACTCAAGATGTACGACTACCATTTTTATCACAGTGAAAAATTATATGTATATATAGTTTTGTACAAAAAATCATAATACGTTTTAAAGAGTTAATCACTTCAATCAGGGGATAAGCGATACAAAGATAAAATGCAAATATAAAAGATGAAATAAATCAGAAGACCTATCCTGTGTGTAACGTCTTCTCAGATTGTTTAATTATTTCGTTGTTGACATGAACAATGAGCTACGTACGTACTTCTAAGAGCATAAGCGAGAGATGCAAAGTTGAGTCTCATAGACGATTATGTTTCTACTTGATGAAAAAAAACATTGAATCTTATAGAACAAATCTCATAAAATTAATAAATTAAAAATATTTTTTCTTATATCTTCTCGAACACTTTGCATAATTGTACTTGTGTAAATTTACAGAATGGAATACAGAAACGTGCAATGAAAATTATCAATTACGCTATCATTACGTGAAAAAAAGCATAATTTTCATCGTCTATGAAAATCCATGCGTTCTACAATGAGTCGTCCACGTCTGATTTGCTTTTTACGTCAACTCGGCGAGGATTGTCATGCCATCCTCGTTTGTAAGTTTACTCACAGAGCGGTGCATAGGATATGTTGCATGCCGGTATATTGGTGCTCTTGCTGTGTGTCTTGCCATATAAATTGTCGGTTTTTTTTGGTGATGGTGATGGTAGTTAGAATTTAGAATCATTTACGTGTGTCACCTTGATCGAGATTCCACTATCATCCTCGTCCTCTTCGGTCATTGTCGTCAGCCTCGTCGTCTCGTCGGCCATTAACGAGTTGTCCTTCTTCGGATGCTTCTTTTGCTTTCCCACACTGCGTCAAACAATCACAAACTTCATCAATTTTGTAAATTAGATAATAATAATTAGAAAATTTATATTCATATTAATATTTCTTCTTTTTATTCGTAAACTATCAGCTATAACTATTATAATTGTTGTTTAAAACGTTTTTCATTTTTAACAAAATTTTAATTTATGACAGAATATCTCTTTTACGTATTTGTGTTTTATACAATGTTAAATTCCATGTTAGAAAGTTAAATTCTATAAATGTCGAAATATGCTCTTATAATTTATGCTTTTATTATAATCTTAAATTATGCTCTTTAACTAAATTGACTGAGAAACATTCGATTATAGTTTAACAATTGTTCCTTTGTTTCACTGAAAACAAATTTCGCTACCGTAGCTAATCATGATTTGCTAAAACTAGTTTGCAGCCATAATTATAAAATATAAATATTAGCTGTCCATATTTTACAAAGAGCAATAATTGTCAAATGTTAAAGTTAATAATCGTGAAAAGTTATTAAAAAATTACTACGTTAATTTTCTCAATCAGGAGTTATTCGAAATTTCCTTGTATTTAATCCATTTAAATTAATTCATTCGCATGTCTCATTTTTACATAATGTTTGCAAAAATACCTAAAATCGTTCAAAATTTAATACTTACTTGATTAGCGATTTTGACTGCTTCGTTTTTTCATTGCCCTCGTTGACTTGCTGCCAGATACCAGTTTTGTTCACCTCCTCGCTGATATTGATACTCGCCAAAGGGATCTTCATGATGTTCCCATTGGCCAAAGAAATCTGAATATTTCCCGGGGGCCCGTATCCCATCGTTTCGTTATGTTCCTGCAGGACGAATGAAACAATAATTTGAATCTCAACCTTGATGCGCGACAAATTTCTATCAGGCCATGCATAAATTCAAGCGAACTTTGCGTTGCCTTTGAATTGCTGGGAAGCAGGCGTGATGCGTTGCTTGCCAGCATGTATTTCACGAGCTGGTTTCACGCGGCAATAAATTATACATGTATACGAGGAAGTAATAACGATCGGGGGTGTCACGTAACACTATGAATAAATTTACAAAGGTTGTGACTTTGGCGCGTGGACAATTCTAAGAGAAGAATGCACAATGGAAAAATCAGTGCGCTAGATGACGGTAGAATTAGGCTTCGTGTTATTTTTTTCTCTTTTTCGGGGAGTGGAAATGATTTTAATAAGTAACGATTCCGTTCACCTTGAGAGTTTTGATCTAAACAATATTTTGTACCATTTCACCCGCGCGGTATAACAATTAATAATGATCTGTATTGTTATTTATATCTTGTGAGTAGGTATTAACACAAATAATATCAAATTACTTAGAATAAATGTGTGACGGGGCACATTTTGTTATTTTTAACACTTGTCAATGTTCTCTTTAATAATTCCGTTATTAAGCGCCGTGCAGTTACACTCATGCGTTCGTCTTGATTTTTTATTGTAAATGTAAACCGCAATGTATTTTTGCTATCGTCCCGTAATTCGCAGAGAATCCATAACATGCTGTAATTGCAATCAGTTTAATGGCGCAGCATTGTTACTGTAACGTATCTATCCCAGTGTGCATCGTCGCGTTCGCTCACCGAAGAGTCTCTTCGATTACAAACGGGCGTAGGATGCTCGCTGAATTCGTTCGTTTGCAAAAAGAACAAGACTGTCAGCTATATGCGGCGAAACTACGGACGTGCACTTATGGTGACGTACCGATGACAGGCGGAGGATTCGACGACTGGCGTTTATTTTTTCGTTTGCGATTTCCGTATCGATTTCCGATTCCGTATCTCCGTGTTTGTCCGGCTCGTGACTTCTTTCAGTCGCTCTCTCATTTTCGCTCGCTGAATCGTCACTCTCCTCCGTGAGTCATGGTGTGCTTCCGCCCAGTTATTCCGTCTTTAATTGTCATTGTTACAACAACGAACGCACGCTGTCGGTTGTTACACGGAGCGATGCCTCGCTTAATCGCTCACTCGCGTTGAGATAATTAAAAATATTATGTTGCTCCTTCTATTGTATTGTACGAAAAATTATACATAATAATGATTACACCGTTTTATTTCATATCACATTTTTACTTATTTCTGGCTTCGTAAATTACAAGACATTTTGTTTCTTTGTTGTCAATTTAATTTTTAGACTGTATTAATGAGATAGAAATTCGGAAAGTACCAGCTAAATGAGAATCTTTTCCAGTGGTAAATTTTTGCGTAATAAACATGTAATTGATTATTTTTGCAATTTAGCTATTTATTGGGACTCTTATACTTGGTTTAATTTGTATTATAAAAATGTAAAGTAAAATAAAATGCGCAACCCAAATAAAAAAAGATTAAAGCAGAACAACACAGTAGAAAAAAAATGTTATAACATGTGTAAGTAGATTTAGTGGTAATTATAACAAACTATCTACAGTTAATTAATATTAGTGTACTTAGCGTTTTTCTTATCTCTTCCTACAATGTCATTATGAATTGTTTAATTAATACAATAATTTTGAAATACTTGAAAATCTTGAACACCTGACTATTGTGAGAAACAAATAGAAGCTCTCAGGCAGGCGAACGTGTAAATTACACGAGTATATCATTAATTGTGTTAGGAGTTGTTGGAATTATAAAGAGGTTTCGTGTGTTTCGAAACAATAATGTATTTTTACATGATTAGTGACGTGTGTGTACGACGGCGCATTAAATCGATACAAGAGTCTCGAATGGTTCACAAAGGGGGATATCAGCGACACGACGATATATTAAATGCAACAGAGACTTTGTTTCGCCAAGTCGCGAATATCGACCGCGGTGTGTCGATCGGTACTCGATGAATAATCTTCGTTGGTATCGTTTGGGGGTAGTAGGCAACCTGCTTTCCATTTAGTTGTCGATTAACTATGAGCGTATTAAAAAAATTTGGCAATTGCGGCGAACGTGTACTCTCCCATGGTGAACTGATCATGATTTTATTTCAAACAGCCCTTTGTTTGCTGTAATGTTGGAATGTATAAATTATATAGAAGAAGTGCTACATTAATTTATTCGAATGTACAAACAAAAATGGTACAATATTGCTTACCTTGCAACAATAATTTCCCTTAACTACTGTTAATAGCTCGCAATATCGTGCTCGATAAGCGCGACTATGCTTGTGACTATTATACTCGTAAGAATATTATTCAATTTCAATTATATTACGGCGTAATAACGAAGAAGACTCCACTTTCTTATCTCTATCTTAAATTCGCCTAGGATCGTACAAAGATAATTATATATAATCCCATCAAAGACATCGCACATCAATGAAGACACCGATAAAGATTCATCGCGCGCGGTTCACCATTGAAGAATAATTAGTAATCCGGAGCGAAGTGTTGCACAAAATAAAATTTCGGGTAGCCGTCGACGTGTTCGAAGCGCTCGCAAAAACGATCAACACTCAACACATTACTCTAATCTCGCTACAACAACGATGCTATCGATAAAAACGTTTAAGATGCGGTATCCAAAAGTCTACCGTATTCAAAAATTCAACAACGATTATCATTACATGTACTTTAATACTGGTCGGTCGGTATAAACCACCTGGATTTGAGGAGTTGGTTTGGCACATGTTTCGAGTGGAAGACGAGAGGATGGCTTTCGAGGCCGAGAGCTTGGTTGAAAAACTCTTCGTTGAAAAAAAATATATATAGAAAAAATTCGTCACGTAAATGCCCGCAGCAACGGTATCGTGTATTTCCATAAAATGGCAAAATTCGCTTAGCGTTTCAAAAAATTTCTGCGGACTGAAGACAGTCCGTGCGTGCGTTTTTGGAATGTTTTCTTTTACTTTGTGTAATACCATTCTCGTCATCCTGGCGTATTCAGGCGGTAAAATGTCCTTTGCGGAAATAAAAAATTCTCGACCGCAAAATGGAGTAAAGTGTTGTTTCGACGAAACAGTAAAAAGTGTGCGTTTTGCGTAGAAATTATTGGTCCGTCCGTACTTTGTTTTTCTTTTCCTTCTTTAAATTATTAAAGGCCGAGTTGGCACTCTTAAATTATCCGGCGTTTAATTATATATAATTATGCGCTTTAAATTAAATTATATTCTAGCCTCATATTCAGAGATCCTATATCTTTACTCGAATCTGTTCCGCGCAGCGACGAAAACCTAATTCGTTTTAGGTGACATTCATCCGATCACTCGTCGTAGTATACATCGTTTCTTCTGCAAAGGGCGGATTCCCCAAAGTCGGAGAGAGTGATGGTGACCACGGGGCGAGCGTTCGCCACGCGATCACCGTCTGTATGCTATTTGCGACAGGTGATGGCGTTTAATATTCGTGTCGCGGTGCTAACCTCGCCGTTTTCCAGCTTACGAAGATCGTCAGCGTGTTTCCTGCTTGGTTCCGGCATTACGTCGTCGAGGATTTTCAACTCGCGTTGCGTAAACATAAAATCCAGGGATTTGCGTATGCCGATCATTACCACGAGCTGCAAAGTTTTATGCAAGCTGAATTACATAATATCCTTGAAAACATGCCACTTTCTCATAATATATTGATTCCGAGATTGATTAACTTTTGGTTTTACAGCTGTTGCAGCAAGAACCTAATGTTATACATCTAACGGTGTTACGAGACGACTTTACCGAGAAAAACATATTATTTTTTTCAAGTGCAATTATAATCTTCACAGAGCAACAATTTCAGTTCATTTGTGAAATAATTTATTATTAAATAAAACGTTTAATTAATCTCTTGTAGAACTTCTTTTGCAAGTATCTAAAAAAGAACAATTTTATACTTTCGTCGAATGTAATGGTAATTTTTCTACTTATCAAATCCACATTAATAGTTGGAGAAAGTTACGGATATTATTAAAGGACGAATAACTCGTTGAGGAATCTATAGATTAATTACTCACCATTAAAGGAAACAGAATGGAAGTATGGCTAAAGGATTTTATGAGCCACAGGCAGGTAAGGCAGGTAAGCTGAATCACAGTGAACAGGTGTACGCGTTTCAACGGCACCTGAAAACCCAAGCTTGCTTTAAACATTGGAAATACAATAGCCTCAGAATAAGAAGAATTATATAAATCTGTTCAATGTTTCGAAATATTTCATTATAAGTGAATGTATTCCCCGTTAAAGAAGTCAGGTCAAATGCGTTTTGAGCTACTTGGAAAGCAAGGCTTTCGGAATCATTCATATACCTGGCGAAGAAACATGTAATCCGGCTGATATTTAACCGGCATCAGCATTATGAGAATCCTATCGAAGAACTGAAGACCTTTCAGCGACGCGACGCCCATGTACAGGAAGACACCGAACAGCACCGGCATCGGTATGTTCCTCAGCATCGGTGTTAGCAGCACCGAGCACCCGATCATTAAGAAAATCAGTATGTGAGTGACTCTCTGCTCGCGGACTCCTAAGAACCGCGGCTTCTCGCCCGGCGCGGCGCACTCGGACTCCAACTTCAACGAGTTGACGTGATTTATGGAGAGGACCGTCGCTGCGACGAACCATGGAAGTCCCATCACCGAGCATATCTCGATCAGGATCGCCAGAACAAAGAGATCCAGGTGATACCCGCATCCTTTCTGGAAAAGCATCAATAAGATTAGCTTATCGGTCTATTACCGCGTTATCGCTAAGTATTTATCATTGTAATTAAATTAAGCGATGCTTCCTCTGTCACGCATTCAAAGCCTGCGGCATTCGTTGACGAGAATAGATAGGTGTAACCGCTGAAGCATCGTAACCAGCGAAGCAGCAACCGCTCACCTTTAACTTGTTCTCTTTTCTATTAACAATAACGGCCGTGATTTGCTGATCCATGAAGATCAATATAGTGCCCAATAAAGCGGGCAGAAATGCCCCGATAGCACTCCACCACGGATTCCTCTGAAAAGGCCAGATTATCCATCCTCGTCCCTCCAACGTCGGCTTGAACTCCGCCGGCACTTCCAATTTCGGCGTTGAAATGCCCACGAAATGATCCAATGTGCTCATAGAGAATATCGCGATTATTACTGCGAAATCGCTCACCACTTGCCTCACCTGAAGTAACATAGGAAACGTCAAAAACCAAAATTCCCCTGGTAGATGCAACGATAAGATTCCATAAATTATCGTGTTCCTAATAAAACTCAAAAGATATGTATAACGACTTTATAGCTAGAAGTCTTATAATATCTTTAATCTTTATCCCCTAAGAAGATAGAGCGGGTCTTGTCCCTTCTTCTTTAATTAGAGCATATGTTTCTACCTTTGAGGGAAAGAATAAAGCGTTCTTGAAATCCTTGAGCTCTACCGACAGTAAGAACGTGCCCATGAATAGGATAATTGACATAAGGAACACGTCGGGTACATTATGCGGTATGCTGCAGCCGTCGCCCACCATAGTGCCATTGTAATTCTGAAAGAAGCAATAACGAACACGGCATGAAGCGAATTGGATTGCCTCGAAGTTCACATTTTCCTGCGAACTCAGGAACACCTAGTAATCTAGTTTGCTCGCCTGTAATTTCTCGAGAAGGTATAAGAGGCAGCAAGTTGTATACACGTTTGATTGTTGCGATTGAGCGTAACGAGAGGTTTGTGTACTCGGTGTTTCTTATCACTCACGTGACAGCGAGTTGATTATCAAACAGAATTTACCATTTCTGCTGTGACGCGAGATCACACGAGTCTTTAAATGAAAATGTCTCGGTAATCTTATAATACAGCCGTGTCGATGCATTTTAGTGGAATCCAAATCTCGACGTGTGTACAACAGAACAACTGTTTGTTATCTCTAGTTAATTGTAAATACATTTCACATATTATTTCCAATATCTTTACCTCACAAGCTGTTTTATCCAACGTCGTCCAATTCATGTTGTCATAACTGGATGGCAGACTGGTATTCGGTGGTTTGCACCAGCAATTGTAGTCCAGTGTTTCGCTAGAAGAGCTGTTTAAGGGATATTTCTTGCCGATCGACAGTACATTTTCGATAGCCTAGAATGTACTGATACACTTAATACATATAAAGATATTAAATAACTAACGATATTAAAAGTATGATTAAAACGTGATATTGTCTGTGAATAATCGAGTATATGTATGGCATTTTTTTCATGGTAAAATAACATTAATAAAAATTTTTTAGAACACCGTAATACAATGGGAAAAATCAAGAGAACTTAATGAATCACTATTGTGTCTATCCTGATGGACAGCAGTACGATTTTGCTCACCTTATAAATGAAAATGAAGGCGATGAGGGTGGCAAAATTTTCCTCCGTAAATCGAGTGATGTAACAAACGCAAGCACTTGCGTCCAGGGCCACGAGAATCATCAGAATCATGGAGATCCACGAACCGATCCAAAAACGAAAGGACATGTAATTCCAATCAACCTTCCTGCGAGAAGAATAACGATCTGATCAGACTATCTCGAAGAAGGAAAATGTTAATAAAATTTTACATTTCATAATATAATATAAATTCATCGATTCTGTCTTCGTAAAGTTGCGATATAAAAAAATGTAATGGTATACGAATTCACATATGAAATTAAAAATTATTGGGCTACCTTCACCCTGCTCAGACCTAAGCATTGATGTGGCGTTCTCGTTTCCTATTTTACTTATATCACGAAGGTCCTGATTTAACTTTATTAAAAAAATGTTAACTACAGAATTGAAGCAGTGAAAAAAGTTACAGAAGTTGGTTAAACCGCAGATAGATTCCATCGAAACTCACTTGCAGAATTCGTAGACGATCGTCTCGAAAACCAGCACCGGACCAGTGGAACCAAGTATAGTCAGTGGCTGACCAGAGAAGAAGCCATATCCTATGCCACAGACGAAACCGGAAACCAGAGATTCCATAGCGGCCATGTTCTTACCGGTGGCCTCGCTGAGCAGGCCACCGAAGGTGATAATGGGTGACAAGCAGGCGAAATACAGGAAAATGAAAGACGCGACGCATTGAAGCGCGAGGGCATCCTTGAAGTCGGAAAGGTAAAACGGAGCTTTCCTCTTAAAGTCGTTGATCAGACCACCAAACAGTTTACCGGTTCTGGACAGGCCGGATTCCTCCCTTAGCTTTTGTTCGTCAGCTTCGTCGTCGAACTCTTCCTTAGGCTTTTCCTCCTTGGGTCTTTTTCTGACTTCCTAAGAACGTGAAACAAAGCTGCGGTTGAAGTGGCGAATACTTTCCAAGATTTATATCTCAAAGCTAGGCGTTGAAATCGATATAACTTTCGTGATTTCGATTTTCAATGTGCCACAGTAATGATATACAAAAAAAGAACTTCACTCGTCACATGCCACTTCCGTCGTCGCATAAATAAAGATAGAGATTACCTTCGTGCGTTTATGTAATATCGAGTTCCGAACTGTTAAAAGTGATATCGCTTCTGATTTCTGAGGCTATTCTCACCTGCGACGGTATAGCGGCTGGCGGTTCTATTCTGATTGCGGGATCCCATTCACCGGGTGGTAATACCGTCACGGCGTCTAGGAACTCGTCGATACCTGCTAAGAGATGATTTCTATTTTTCGCTTTGTAAGCCACGTCGTGGAAGACTTCGTCGGACATCAAGGTCGCCATGGCTCGACCGATCTCGTGGAATCCCGCAATTCCACCCTAAAACGATTCGTACAATGTAAAGTATTGTAATTTTGTTACATTGTCCTACAGTTATATGCTGATATTTTTGCACGCATGTATTTAATATAATTTTAATATCGTTATTTCCTGCATACATTCTTTGCAAATATCTTATATTGTACTTCAGTGATTTATTTGAAACATTTCGGAATTATAAACATAATGACGCATTAACTAAAGGTATTTATTGCGTAACTTATCGCCAGGAATTACTTAATACAGAATAACGTAAGATGAGGTGATAAGCGAGGGTTTTGCGAGAACTTGTGAAGATTATCAGCCACGTGTAACGCACGAAAATAAACTAGTGTCCCTGTTTATCGATAAGTAGTTTTTATCGCAGAGAGATTATATACACTCTCAGAACTGATGACGTGAACAATTCATTTTTATCTAAGAAGAAAAACGTCATCAAACTTCGATTTGATGCTGTTAAAGTTACCATTGATATACAGAGTAGCTGCCTATGTGGGTAAAAATGAGGTAAATAATTTATGTAATAATGGAATTATTACTTAAATAGAATAATGTTATTTTAATTAAACTGTATATCCTCTGTGAAATTCACGCTGTTTGAAATATCAGAGCCTCATAACGCGTGAATAAATTGCGTAATGCAAATGAAATTCCTGACTGTTCTTTTAGTCACGGATGTAATAATAATCTTTCAATGATATTTTGATATTTAAATGTTATTTAAGGATTTAATTTCTTTGTAATAGAGGAAAGTCCCTTATTATGCCATAGACTTCTAATGTGAGATAGCGGGTTTTCAACGTCCAGATTTAATCACAAATTTTTTTTCACGACGATTACACGATCTAACAATGAATTTTCCACTAAACAGATTCCGCTTCAAGAGCAATAAATTCATGGTGGAACCAATAGACGATGCTTGTTAATTTAAAAGAAGCCCCGCTATCTCATATTAAGATCCTCTCGCATAATGAGGACTTTAGACGGTTTTAATATGCACAGAAAGTTTGTTGATAAATTGACATAATTTTTTATTAGAGTAATAAAGGTATTTAAAGTGGTAATATATGCTTAATGAAAGGAAGCATTTGTGACGTCACAAATTAAAGAATAAGCTCGCAATTGCATATTTAAATCGCATTTGCGTGAAAAAGGTATTACTTTACGCGTGGGTCTCTCGAGACAATAGTCAACAGACTCAATTAGCATGTATGACTGGTTATTAAAGGTTTAATTGCTCCGTTGCCAGAGAGATGGCATTCTCGAGTCTCAAATTGACATTTAGAGATAGATGTGCTTACACATAAACGCGAAGAGAGAATCTTGCGCAAGTGGCTGCGAGGCGATTCGGACTAGTTATAATTCTTTTTTTAGATCACCCATTCGAGATTGAGTGTGGAAGATGATTGCCTGTGATAAGTCGTTGATATTACTGTAATAGCCGAGTAGTATAGATATGATTCGTGCAGATAATCGACGATTCAAAAGGACTTCAAGGAATTCGTTAATGACCACTGCCGCACTTGCACGGATGTACAGATATTTTATTTGATAGTACAATACCACGGTTGGGAATTTCATTTGCATTTAAGCAATTTATTCATGCGTTACGTTGGCGTTCTAATATTTCAAACAGGGTAAAATTTCGAGCCCACGTGCTGTACTTCTTCCGAACTTCTTTTGAACTTAATAATCTCCATCGGGATCGTCCGACACTTTCAAATACATAGCGTCCCGAAGTGAACGATAGATTTTCAAGAGAGACAAAAAATAGCAAGAGGTTCTTCTTTACTATAAAAAGATATTTGCCTTAATTCTTCATCTTCAATTGCAACTCTATGCATTTTAATTTATCTAAATTTATATGAAAAATGGAAATGGAGTTGTATCTACGGTAACTTTGCAAAGATGCCCTAGTTAAAGAAGTCAAGAAGAAAAGACTTGTACATAAGATAAATAAAATTCTTCCAGTCCAAGTTTGTATCTAAATCTCCTTACTAAACATTTCTCATGACAAATTTCTTGTAGGACATAAAACTGTGTTTCAAGATCGAATAATAATCGTGCTTTAAAAAAGATGGAAGACAAAAGTATAAGATTCACCAAAATTATTAGGTATGAAAAATTGCGTTTAATTATGAAAATATGAACACACACACGCGCGCGTGCGCGCGCGAATTGTGTGCGTGTGTGTTGTCTTACAGATCGATGGTTGTTCACTTATTAAAAAGACCCCTCAAATTTTACTGAAATTATGGAATGCAAACATTTTTCATCGTTTTCTCATATGTGGGACACGTGTTAATTGAAAACGTAGTCATTCATGGGGCAAAGTCTTGTTTCAACAAGTTTTGCAAATCCAGATAATGGGAAAATTTCAATGAAATGGTACTTGAAATAAGTCGCGATCATAACTTATTTTCTGCTGTTTAGTTTTCGCGCTTAATCATTACATAATCGCGGTAGCATTCTTACCATGGGTCCCAGGAGGACGAAGATGAATCTTGTTGGAACAGGAACTTCTGTCAGGTCCCCCATTATCCCGGCCTGGCTTAACCGGATGAATGCGGACAAAGTCTTGTCGAGAAAATCGACCTCACCTACGAGTATGTTGCTTGCCTCGGCGCCGGCTGGTATCTTCCTCATAAAGTGCGTATTACCCTAATGAGAAAGTGAAGTTTCTTGGGTTAAGCTGTCCGCGATACGGAAAACCAATCGTGACTTTAAAGGAGAGGGATTTGTATGCAATCTCTTTACCAAAGAGGTTGACAACAAAATTAAGCAATTTTCGCTCGGCTAATATTAAAAATATCTAGACAATAGCTCGATTATTTTGATACTTGCATTAATTTTTATTAATTATATTAATCTTTTACGGTAAGATAATTATATTTTGTGCGTGTAGATGTATGTACATTGTATAGATTTACAATTCTTAATTGTTCTCACGATAATTCAAAAATATTCGATAATTGTAATCTAAGCCACAAACATCCGTCGCCGCCATGGTAACGCACTAAATTTGAAGGATCTAATTTCCCGAGGATTAAATTTCAGGTAATGTATTTACGAACCTTGTGATTAGCGTCTCCATTCTCCAAAGCGGAGGAGCTGTGATTTCTGCAGATAGACACGCTGCTGGGGCTCCGGTCCATGCCGTTGCTGCCTGGTTCTTGGCCTGAAAGAGATCTAGCTTACTGCCTACTGCATTTTTACGCGCGGCTTGAGTAACAAACTCCTGTCAGCAGCATGCAATGAGGAAAATGATGGCTTTCATCCGCCCGTGCGTCATTAATCCTCCGAGGTGCGCGCACAAAGCAGATTGCAATTTCGTGCGGCTCGAATTTCACGCTCAGCATCAAGTTCGTACGAGTTCGCTTTTGCGATTAGAACGTTCCGCTTTAAGGCGGTCTGTCGCAGGATCAAGAAGGTCGAACGCGCCCTTATCTCGTAGCGAAGTCATTGATCACACCCCCCCCCCCCCTGGAAACTCATGAATTTTCTCGCGGCCGATTCGAGTGGTACGTTCGCAAAATAACAAGACATCGGCGGGGCGTGCGAAGAAAATTTTCAGAAAAGTTGTCGACTTATTATATTCGCAAGCGCGAAATTGATTTGTAAACTTGAGACAAACCTTTTATCTCGGCAGAATTAACGCGAGCTTTAAAAGATAAATAGATTTCTATCTATATGTAAAACAGATTTCTATTAAAATAAGATGCAAATAAAATCACAGTGTTAAATCACCTAGTAATATTTATTGTAATATCAATTAGCATTTAAAATCTTATTCGGTGAACAAGATTATTTGAGACTTGTTTTCTCAAAAAATCATGAAATAAAAACCGCATTTTGTAATAAATAAAATAAATATAAGAATATTAAAGATATGCCCTTTTAAGTGCATAAATATCAGTAATTTCTAAAATAGGATATTAATAGCTGCATTTTTATAATCGCAAATGATGAGTAATTCGATATTCACTGTTTTATGTTACTTGCAACGTATCGCAATTTTACGCTATCTCTGCGAGTTCTGTAAATAAAATGTGCTATCTTGCGAAATGAATTATCTCAAATTTAAATTCTCATTAAAAATGAAGTTAAACCTTTTTATGCATAACGAAATAGCTATTTAATTATTTGATAGAAATCAAGCGTAATCGAGAAAGATATGTGATCAATTATAAGGTGCAAACAACATTTTAAGATTGTACCGATATATTGATTATGATAACCGGCCACACTAATTTATTAAAAATCATTTTTTAATCTCCTTTTATCAGTGCATATAATCGGTATCGATTTATACGATTAAACAAATCAAGTGAACTGCGTTTGATCGAAGCTCGCCATACACTAATAGTCCTTGACCTTTTGCGTCAAATGTCAAGGACGACCGCTAGGACATCACTTTGCAAGGCTAACCTTATCGTAAATTTCTCCAATAGTCTTATCGTGGAAGCCCCAGGTAATAGGAGCTCTCTCAATTTTGCAATTAATATTCCTCTAACAGTACTTCGCGAACAGATCGCTTGAAGATATTTCTTTAGATATTCTCCGATAAGTAATAAATCAAATTAATGCGCCTGTTATTCTCTTCGAGTTATTTAAGTTAAATCCTTACAGTTATTCGAGTTAAATCCTAGAATTACTTACAACGAGCGTTTAATAACAAACAAATACTTGTATTTCTACGTCAAAACTCAGAAATTTCACCAAGTGGCAAGAGGCGTAATGACGTCTGGCGCAATTTGCAAGTCGGCCACCATTATCCGCAGTAAAGGCTCTTCGGTAATTTCTCGCGAACGAAATGAAGTTTGTTAAGCTTTCCAGCGTTCCAATAACAATCCGTCCCGATCTCACTACGGTCCCTCGTTTGTCGGGCATGTCAACGGCATGGATAATTGCTACTGCAGATTAATCTACGTATACGTGTGGAACGTCACTACAGAATTAATGCGGCTCGCGCGAGTGTGGAGGTGTGTATGAGTAGAAAAGCAAGCACAGAAAAGCGGTTTACCGGGATGGCCGGGTATCGCAAGGAAGCGGCTACCAGCATTCAGCGCTGCTCCACTGCCCTGACTTGTTGCGCCGGCGATCGCCGGAGCGGAATTCGATTCCTCCACTAAAAATGAGCATGAAACACAACACCAGGATCGTATGTTATTTACAGAGGAAGGTGCGAGGAGGAGCAGAGGATCCGCCGCCGTAGTAAATCGTGCTCGCTTTGATCTCGGAATCACTCGAAATTACAACAAATCGATTTGTCCACGTATCGCATTCGTGCGTATCTCTCATTCGCGGATGTAGCCCCTTGGGCGATAGCAGACTAAATTGTGGGGAAGAAATTAAAAAAATAGCCGCCTCGTTTGTACGCGCCGGCGTTTTAATTTCAATCTGAACATTTAATCCGAGAAGAAAGTGTTGCGTGCGAACAAACAGCCCGGTTCCGGAATATTCCACGTACAACGCGTGCTGATTGCAATGTTACCGCGGGGAAGGAAATTATGCATGCAATTGCTTCTATTTTTACACACAAAGTGCGCGCAAAACGCCAGGTACGAACGTGGCGATGGCAAATGTACGACGGCACGAAGTCTCCTTGAGAGTCTTTACCGCGCACGTGTCGCCGCATATTGTTATTATTATACTTTAACGTCGCCTCGTTTCCATATGATCGTCACAGCAAGTTTCGCGGCAGACGCGAGGGCTCAAATGGCTCGCGAACTCTCGCGACCCTTACAAGATACGCGTAACAACGAAACGCCTCGTTAATTTGACGGGGACCTTCACGAGGGCGTGATTTTTTTATTTGCTCGCAAGCACGCACTTTGACAATAATTCGCAACACTTTTCTTTATACAGTAATTCAGCGTTCATTTCCTTGCGTTTCGTAAAATGTACGCGCGTCGAAGTAGCATTAAAAAAGATCATATCTATTTTCGCCTCTTCGCGGGTTACGGGATTAGAATGGACTACGTTAGTTAGGATACTGAAAAGAGATTAGTCGATTATAACACTGAGGAACCATAAATGCACAGTAATAATGAATAATACGGTAGACAGGGTTTACATCGAGTTACGTGCACCTAGTAAGATCACATAGAAAGATCCATGCCTGATGATCGGAGTTACAAACGTTGGCCTACGTTTTCAACGGAGGAACGTGCATGTTGATCAATGGATAATGAGACCGCGAACGGTGAATTGTAGTAACGTCACGTACGATAGGAAGTAAACCCGTCGTTCATTGCGTAGTGCAGACGCATTAGAGTACTCCGTATTCTCGCCGTACATCTAATATCGCTTGTCCTACCGCATATTTGCTTTTGCCGAAGGGCGACGTTCAATAGAAAATTGATAATCAGCGACATTTAATGCCAGCGAGAATACAGATCACGTTGAATAGCCGCAATCCACTTCTGGCGTTGCTACACCGCATTAGCAACCGTAATCAATTTCATCGGATAGTGGGCAAGATGTATCTGGTATTCGGGAGGTAGAATCGAGCACAGTAGTCGCGGCTAGAATAGGTCAGACGCGTTATCTACCGCAGTGTCGTTGACATTTACGTTCCCGTCGATAAGGACAAGTATTTATAGACGGTAGCATTCTCTCGTAGATTAATCTCCGACTGTTTCAATCGGCGCCGTGTTAGAAAAAAACTATCGGCCAATTTGTCCCGAGTCTCGAAATTTTGAATTTCCATGCGAAATACATAAGTGTTGCCAGATCGTCCGGGATTCTTGCTTCACACGAAGGGATGTCAGATGATGCTGTGTCCTTATAGTCGAAACTCTTGTGCATTACAGTAAGACAATTACAATTCCATCGAGATAGCTGAAATAGTAGGTGGCAGGATCGACGAGAGATCGAAATAAATTTCGCCGCGCGTCGAGCTTACGTGATAAGACACGAAAGACGACAGTGAAGAGACTTTAGTATAGACGGAAGATAAGTGAGAAGTAGAAATTTTTTTTTTTGTGCAGATTCGAGAGTAAACCATCTGGCGGGCTAACCTTTTAGCGGACACATCGCGAACCACGTCGTGAATCCCACCACGTGGGGTATGCCAAATTCGTCTGACAAAAGAAAAGAAACGGTGGTAAGTTATAAATTTTTGACCGGCTCGAGCTCCGGAGCACGAAGTGGGGTGACTCGATGAGGGCGATGAGCGGTCTTGATGACGCCAAGTATTTCACATTGACAATCAATTAGCAAGACAATCACCAAGAAACATCAGGCAGTTGGGGAATGACCATGATGGCTTGTAAATCCAACGGATCGCGGGCGGATCCAGCGACAATCGAGATTGTCTTGATCCTCGCTTGATCGGCGCGCACTATGACACACAATCCAATAATACCAAATTATAGCTAAACGTATCGCTTGCCTCCCAAATTCGCGATGGCAAAGATTGCCATCCTCAAGCTCTATTCAAGATATTAATGTTCAAATTTTGCCCTTGGTACACTTGAACTGAAGTAAACTTCCTAACAATTGTACTTCGCTGTGTTCTTGTAGGCAAATCAGGCCTGTCCAATTTGGTCGAATTATGAATCGCTCAGGATCGACGTTGCGGAATTAAATTCGCGAACACTTTTAACACCGCGGCAGCAATAAAACCTAGAATTTGCGAAGCGATCGATACACGCATGTTGTAGTTGTTAGTGGGTTGTTCCATTGGGGTGTGGTTAGAAAAGCGATGAAAGCACCGCAATCCAAGGCTGCTTAGCGGATGAACTGGCCTAAGTTGATACCTGGAACCAGAAGGTACGGCCCTTTGAGGTCTTTCGCCTCTTTCGACAGCGGGGCCGTGTTCGAATTCGGGCAGCTGCTACTGCGGGCGACGGACGGCACATAAGTGTCCTTCGGATCACGACGCTCCTGCAAATCTGACGTCAACAAGGCATGCATACCACATGAACAGTCGCAATCTGAAAATGTCGATTGTGTCGTACGTGTTTTAACAAAGTTAGCACACCCTAGGACCCTTGGACCCGACTCTTTCGTCTCGCCACCGTCGTCGGGGTGGTCTTCAACGAAAAGCAGGCGAAAATAATAACAAAATTGGATTAGAAATTAAGAACAATTAAATTAAATCAACTTAAAACGTAACAAACCCTTAATGACCCGAAATAGCAGAGATGAAAGTGATTTGTAAAATGAAAATTAAGATTAGGAATTTTAAAAAAATTAATCTTAAAAATGCGTCCATTAGACATTATTTCGGGCCATTACGAGCACAGAAGGTAATAAATAAAATACATATGCTAATTAAAAATAATAAAAGTTATGACAGGATGTAGGGATGTTGTCTTGTCTCAAAATTAATAATTGTTTATTACGGTGTTTATTACTTTGTTTATTATGTAATAAACTTATTAAACGACAAACAAAATGTAATTTAGAAGGAATGACAAATTAAATAAAAACGTGAAGTAAAAGGGAATGAGGGAGGCGCACGCACGTGGAGAACGGGGTACGTTAAGTGGATAAACCGGGTGGTGCTAATCACGTTGAGAGACAATCTGTGTTTTTGGGCAGCCACACGTCTGATATTATGTACACTATTCGTGTGGAGCCATCGGCAACCTGTCAAAAAGTAATTTACCGATATTGGGGCGAGGATATAACGTGAAACTTACTCTTCGAGGAGGAATGGTTGCGTCCTATCTCAGCTAACGATCTTATGATCGGTAACTTCGACATGTTATTGTCTTTGCGTCTTTCGTGTTGGTGCCGATGTCGCACGAGAAGGGCTTCTCTCACCTGAAATGATATTAATACTCCGTCTGATCGATTGGTTAGAGGTGCACGTGCGGCTGATGCGCCCAAGTATTGATTCGCAAATCAGAAATATCAGGAATAAGTATAGAATTGTAAATCTAAATCTTTCACTTCTCTGCACCTTAAATCCGATAACCGGGTTTCCGACGATGACTTTGTTAGCCTTGTAACCGATAACTTACATATTTAACGAGACGTATGAATGAACTTCGTATATATTCCATATCAATGACAAAATGTGGAGATTATAAATGTACTTGCGATCTATCTAAAGGTATCGCGATAAAACTTTTAGTGTATAGGACAGATATTTGAACGACATACTTTACTTTTTCTCACACACAGATTTAAACGACCTTTCTTCACATGCTTTATTACATTCTTACCTTCTCTCGCAATTCGACCGACAGTACTTCTTTATTGATCATATTATCGAGAACAAGATCGGCTATCTGTTCTAAGCTGCCTGCCTCCATGTCGAGCATGACGGTCCCGTTTAAAAGGAGGCTCCTTAACTCGAAGAGTGAGTGCAGTGATAAAGTTGCAACGTGAGGTTTGCTCCACCTATTGCCACCTTCCTCGACGTCTTCCTCGAACTTGATCCATCTGTGTATATTATATTTATGTATAACATTTGCGTATACGATGCTTCTCTTTATGAAAAATACTTTTTATTTTATTTTAAGGATTAAAAGCTTCAACTCTTTTAATCCTTTCCAAACTTTTAAGTACGTATAGATCCAAAATTTTACACCAATTTTTATTCTTGTGCATCACAGACATTTTCGTTTAATTGTTTATCTCGATGTACTCAAAGGATCGAAATTATTTTGAATTGTGATGTGAATTTTCACATCATTATATTGCGTGTACAATTTTGAATATCACTTTGATTATGGAAATACATTTTGTAAAACGGCGACGGTGTCGACGCGCGACATCAATGCGCAAGCAAATTCCCGCGTCTGAAAAGATCAAAATCGACGAGGCGACGTTGCAATTCGGCCTTTACCTCGCTGTTTCCTTCCATTCCATTTCGTCGCCATCCTTGACGAGCTCCTCCATCTCCGAGAAGAGCGGATGCGATTCGTGCGCATCGTCACCGACCTCCTCGCCAAGGATAAATTGTACTCTCTGGGCTGGCGGGGTGACTAAACAATTATGCAATAAGGCATGAATCGCCGATATCAAAGTCGCATTCGGAAAGAAAAATATGCGAATGTATGTACAATATTATACAGAAAGAGCACACATTTATCAGAATATACACGCCAAGTATAATAAAGATATAACAGATGAGAAATTTTTTTTAAGCGATATCGCTTACGAAATGTTTAGCGAAATGCGATCGAAGGAGCTAACAAATGCAAAACACATACAATATTAATATTGTAACGGTAGGCATTTTGATTTGAAGTTTTCATTATGTACATTGTTTTATCAAATGAAGATTAAGAGCAACAACTTTCACGAGAACTTACACGCTAATCAGAGATGCTAAATAGTAAATCGTTAAGACATCTCGGCTATCCTCGTTTACGTGCAAACGGTACGCAAGCAAGTAAACTATCAATTTCCAGAGCATGCCTCTTATTCTCTGCGCATTTCAACTAATGAATGTAATGTCGAGAAAGAAACATTGAATAGCGTATATGAAAGAAAAATAAGATTCCTTTCTAGTAAAATATTAGCAGAGAAACAAGATAAATTCTTATACATCTAAAAATTATGAGAACAGAATGATCAGATGAAGAAACAGGATTTGGCGAGGACTGAGGGATGCCAGCGCAAAAGATATCCAACGTCACTTGATGTCTAAGAAACTTATGTAACGTCAAAAAAAAGGATATAATTTTGCGTCCGAAACGTCTTCCTGAGCACGGCTGCTTCAATTTTCTAAGTTGAGTGAAAGGAAGTTGACGTTGATCGATCGACCGACAAATAGCGTAAAATATATATACGTGTGTATGTATGAACATATGTATACGCCATGATAGATGACGCATGCACATTAGAAAGACTTTTTTTTTCAGAGACACATAGAAAGCAGAAAAAAGATAGAGACCTTCCGATTAAAACGATTGTGTAACCTGTGGTGTAATGTAAGTTACGTAGAGTTGGGTAAAATACTATTTTGTAAAAAAAGAAAATAAATAGCAGGGGAAAAGGCTATCTCATAACCCCGACCTGTTCTATAACTATCGCCGAAGACTTTAAGGTCAATCAATTATTATACTGACCTATGAGGTCTATCGCAGGATTATTTAAAGCGTAATTTATATTTAAATATTTTTCACGGTATGATATACATACTTTTAAACGTTATATTTATCTCTCGATAATATTTTTAAATAAGTAATTTCGTGCCCGAATTTTCAAATGTTTCGAATACGAGAATGCAAATGTATTCAATTACAATTTATAATTGAATTACAAATGTTCAAGGCAACTCTATTGTTTCATAAAATGGCAATTTCATAAAATGCTACAAATACGCAATTGTCATGGGCGATGTGCAATTTACTTGTTTATTATATCGCATGGTCGTAAACTTTTCGAACGTGGAAATAGCGTTCTTACCCTCCTCTGGAAATCTGTATGTGTTGTGTCGTGCGTCGTCAAAATTTCGGTACCGTTCGCACATCCCGCAAGGCTGTAAATATTTATCGCAATCGGCGTATTGCGTAACCGGATGTTATACCTCGATATACATAATTCGCACTGTACACGTGCGCAGTTTGCAAACCCGCGCGCGTTGCAGCGCGCATGGTGAGGTACTTAGGTTCAAATGCGCTCGGCACATCAAATACAATCGCGTTTATGTAACGATAATCAACGAATCAAGGCGACGTCTTCGTGATATACACAAGCTACTTATTTCTGATAAACGTTGATGCACGTGACTCGATTATCGCGGACACCTGACATCGTGTTGGAGCATTACGTTACATTAGGTTTCAAATCTAATCATTAGGCACTCGCGGAAACTGATTTCAGCGAAAGCGTCAGCCGCGACCAATCTTAATATCTCGCGCGCAAATGGACACGTGAGGTCTTCGGCGAGGAACTTTAAAGATTTACATTGCGTTGTAGGATGCACAAACGGTCCCGTATTATGTAAATATTTGTATCACATAAAAGAGTCTCGTATGTATGCATAAGGGTGGCTTACATATCATCTCGCCGGCGGGGTCGCAGATGCTAGCGAGACGACCCCTGCGCGCCATCAACAATTGTCCTGCAATGTCAACGGTGTTACCGTGTCATTCGGACGAAAAAAAATACTAATTTTCAAGAGAGTTCGTGGTATATATTTTTGTAAAAGAATTGACAAGTAAAATGAACAGATTTAAACTAAATGATTATGCTTCCTATTTAATTATAAAAAAACGAAAGTCCTTTTTAAGGGAAAAACTTATTCAATTCGTTTTGTAATTATTACACAATGTCGTATAAAACGCCGCGTTAACGTTTCTCTATCATTTGTGTTCTTAATTAGAGAGAATTACGAAAGTAAGCACGAGAATTGCGATATTGATTCAGCCGTTCGCGATGAAGAATATCTTAATCACTTGTCTCGACACGTACACAATGTTTGCTAAAGTCAAGATATTTACGATGAAAGATGTCGACGACGACGTATTGATTATCTGTATCTTGAAGATTTCCTAACACTGACACAAGTAAGAAATGAACTCACATGACGGGAATTCAACTTATTTATTTATTTTGATTTAGTAACTAGTTTACGTTGAAGTCTTGTAACGCTTCGCTAAACTTCTACATTCAATCAAAGCTCTCTCCAAGTTCTGCCATTTTCTACACGAACAGAAAGAAATACATATATCAGACTTTTCAAAACTATGTTTTTCGCGACTTGTATCTCACTACATATCATATATAAAAATGTTATTTACTTGATATATAACATAAATAAAACTTAATATTTGATTTGTAACATTATTCGAATAATAGATATAACGTAACTTTTCTTTATCCACAGTAGTTAAATAATGATAGATAGTAATTTCTGTTTGACGTCATTATCTTGGTTTATATCTATTAAATTTAAGATATATTATACATGTATCATATGATCTGGCTTTCATACTTGACTTTTTTATACAATAATTTTTGTACAAATACTTTTATATAATATGAACTAATTAAAATATTAAAGTAAACGAAATTACTGATTATTGTAGAATTAAAAATCTCTTATTATTAACGTAAATCAACTTTCGGAATTTCTCACACGTGAGATAATATTAAATTTGTAAAAATTCCCCAAAATTTTACATTTAATTAAAACTTAAAAACTTTAAAAACCATCGGCGGACTAACTAAGAAATAAATGAGTTAACTACTAACTTAACATGATTCTTTCAAGTTATAAAGATCTTCGATCTTGGATTATAAACTTACAAAGCTGTCTAAGTAAAATCGTGCTTTACTGATCCGATATTAATTGATTCACTTTACAACGATAAAAATCAATATGAAGTAAGAATTGTACATTTCAGCAAAATGTTTAAATTTAATATAAGCACAACTTTAGAAGAGCAAACTATTTATTGATCTTGATGTATTTTAGCGTTTCCCAACATGTCATTTTTAATTACAATTTCCTAATTTTTTAACAGAAACAGTTTATTTTTTATAAAATATATTTTACAAAATATCAATTTCTTTAGCTGCTGGAGTTATTCGAGTTTCAGACTATTGAAAATAGTACCGCTGTTGGCACCATAATGGTTAATAATAAATTCTAAAGATTGCATTCAGTGCCATTATTGATGTCATTATTGGCACTGGATACACAATCTGTAAAATTTATTATTGGCTATTGTGGACGCGGGGACATTGTAAATAAATAATAAAACGATATTGCGGTCAAGACATGAACGTTTCGCTGCGGCAACAATTAAATGGATAACGTTATAGTTAGCTGTAAGAAATTGCAACGAGTTTCCGACGTGTTTGCTTTCCGAGAGTCCTTAAGAAACCCATTTTCCCGAAGGTTGTAGTTGTAAATGTATACTTTCAACGCCACGAGAGTATTTCTTCAGTTTCATTGATTCTCGTAAAGCAAAGCAATACGAAATATATACCATAAAATATTCATATAAAATATATCTTTATCAAATATTTATGATAGATAATTTAATTATGTATTTCTCTTACGTTCAATCGCATTTTTTTGCATGATTTTTTCTATTAAAAAATTTATAAAGAAACCAAATTGGCATAAATATATATAAAAAAATTGTAATACTGACTTATCACGTCTTGAAAACCTGACGACATTTCCTAACAGTCTCTTAATCTTTATCACGTTTCATTCATTACGAGTGAATAACTTGATTTATTATTTCATCATCTCCCAACCTTTCGATAAGATATTCTTCACGGTAATACGTTCCGATTTTATCGGCATACTCCTTGCGAAAGTTTCCGACCGTTGAAGATGCTTTCAATTTACCATTAAATTATAGACAGAAATTTCAATATATTAAATCACACAGCTATAGAGAAAAGAAAATTATTTATACATTAATACAAACATATTTTACTTTGAAATATGTTAATTTAGTAAGTTGACGAAGTACTTAATAACAAAGAGTCTTTTACATAGATTTTATAAAGACAATATCCTACCAAATATTTACCAATAAAAGATCCACTCAATAATAAGAATAATTCTGACATAATCTGTACTAATTTCATCAAAATGACTGAGATTATTAATACTTTACATCGTTTATATTATTTTTAACATAAAATTGTAGAACTACAAAATTTTTTCCATAAGACTCGTCTCTTTTTCTCTTCTGCTCTTCTACATGTAGTTAAAACTATACACATAAAGCCGTTTCTATACCCTTATGACGAAGGGCTGCTACAGCATCTCAGTACCGACAGCCTTCTTCTATTCGATGTATCAGAAGTAGGGTGAATACCCGGATAAGTCTCGACAAGTGGTTGGCGCGATGCCACCACATTCAATTCGAGCAAAGCGGTTCCGCAAAAGCGCAACGCATCACATGTCATGTATTTCAGCAAAATTTCCGAAATGTTTTTAGCGCGAACAAAACAGTTATAAATTTTTCGAATAGTCAGAGTAATAATTCCATGAAATAAACGCAACTTTTCCAAATGCCATTAAATTGGAGTGGGCGAAATAATAGCACCGTCACAAAGCGCCATTAGCTCGCGCCGCTACGAAACGCAAGGCGGCGACCCTCGTTTCATTTTTAGACTGGCGCAGTCTTCTTTTTATTGCTATATTTACCGACTGTCTGTTCTAGGCAACAAAGGCAGGAACATGTACATCTTCACATAACTGCGGAGATACGATTGATACAAGAACGTCGCACATTTTACATTTACAGACATTATATTTAATTACATAAATGGATGCTTTGTTAGAAGCTGCTGAATTTAATATTAAACAAATGGAAGATTCATGCGAGATGAAAAAATTGCTTTTGCATTCGAGAACTATGTAATTATTTAGACAAAAATAATTTATAATTTATAATACGAATCGATTGTTATTAAAATAATACGTACGTTCAAGACATATCGATGAGACTTATAATAATATCATTTTATGTATTTCTTTTTTATTGATATAATATTTCTCTTGGGAGATCCACTTATATGCATAAGTAAAATTATATTTAAAGTCGTGAATTAATTTTACGTATTAGACATACACGTGTAATTTTTTAGGCACAAGGAAACGTAGCGTGCGTCGATGCCAAATTCTGAGTTGCAAATAGTACAAATATCATGGGATGAGTAAGATATTTATAAGACTTGATAATTTTACTGTTACACGTGCAAAATTAACTTCTAAGTTAAAGTGATATTTGATGATTTCTAGCTGAGACGATCTTTCATGAATTATTACTATTATTATTATTATTTATCGGTAAGAAGAGAAGATTATTAAAAATGTTCATTTATTATTTTTAATAAAAAATTGACTGTAATCAGTTAATGTGAGCGATAGAAATTTTCTTATCAATTTATTAAGTAATATTGCCTAGTCCGTTACAATTTAAAATAAGTGCAAAATGTAATTGAGTACATTTCTAGTGGCATTAATTTTTATCGAGCTTACTTTCAAAGTAAAATATTTATATCGTAGAAAACTGATTTAAATGAATGGTTACAGAGAAATATTACAAAGTTAACATATATCTTTTCGATGTGACATCCGAAATATTGCTGTTGTATTGAGGATGCTTGATTTTATTATTGGAAAATGGAAAAATGAACTTCCTTGTTCCAATGTATGTTACATTACAATTCGTTAATATGTATGTGTACAAGTACTTGGGTTTGATTTAACACTCTCGTACTCTTCTGTTCGTGTGCATTTATTCAAAAAGCCAGATAACACCGTAATAGGTAATTAACGTTTCGTGTGCCGCCCACGTACGAATCCTCGTTTCTGCCGCAACGTTCTATTAAGCCGCAGAATTTGAAACATCCGTTTGTTGACAAGAATGCAGGATACGATAGCAATCAAACGACACTATGGGCAATAATTATCACATAAAACAACGTACGAGAATGCGGTATCCGAACAAATTATACATACATGTATAATTTACTTTGGAGATACCAATAGATGCAAGACTTATCCTCAATGAATTAGTAAAAGTACGTTCTATTGGCGAGTTATATAGTCCCGTGACGTGAAAGAATAATTGAGTTGGCATTCGACAAAAGAAATGCTCAAAAGTGATCTCAGAATTAGCACATCCGCACTAGCCTCACTTCCTGCGTTCGTCATTATGCGATGCTTCGTCGCTGTTTCAACAGGGAAGAAGTATTGCACGGGGCGACATCATTATTGACAAGAGTCGCACAACTTTCTAGAGTACGAGGGGAAAAAACTGCGGATCAACTTACTCGGTCTGTCGTTGTCGACGTCCTCCTTACCACAGGGGAACGATTGCCGTTGTGAATGATGGTGCTTATGATGCCGGCGGTGTCTCCTTTCCCCTGGCAAATGCACGCCCACATATACCGTGTGCGCCCTGTGACCTGGAAGCAGATGAAAGGGACGCTCCGTCACACACAGTGCCTCACAAGCCGCTATGGGGAAGATGCGCGGATTTAGAGCAATTTCTCCCTGATGAAGGTGCACGCGAGCTTTTCTTTCGCCATACGAAAGGAAATTAGGTCGGCGTCGTTTGATCGCGTAATCCTGCAAAGATGTATAAACACGGGACACGTAGATCCTGCAGGGGGTGAAAACATCCACCAGGTGTACCTCTCCGGCGGATGAATTTACGCGTCGACTGTAGTTGGAGAGATCGCGTGCTAAGACGAGTTCACATGGGTGAAAAGGTCAGATTCGTGCCGGTTTTGTCGTAATACGGATGAACAGTTGAACTTTGTGCGAATGGCAGACATTAATGACACACCACTAACTTTTCTAATATTAAACATAATATTAGTAATCTTTTTCAGCACGATACGTGTTACTCACAAATATGGCCATTATGTGCTATTCGCTTTCATTAACAAAGTGTCGTCTACTATTACGCGAGAATTGTGTCGAATTGACACATGTTACAGAAAGTATGTGACAACTAAATAGATGGGCAAATAAGTCCGTCAAAGATCGCCGAAGATACATAATCTGTATTTAGATAGACGTATAAATATAATGGGACACTGGCGTATAGCGTAATAGTGAAATTAATAAAATTATGTATGCATATTGAAATATTAATAAATTTTGCATATTGAATGTATATTCCGTTAATTTAGTTAGGTACCTTTTAATAATGCAAATTTATGTTTATGCACAAAGAAAGGTACTGCGAGCTGTGAATATAATTAGTCATTCAACGAAGGGTTTTATTTTTAAAGGCAGTTTTAGAAAAGCCTTTTTTCAAGAAATCTTCGCATCGCATCGACCGTAGGAGGTGAACACCTGTCAGACCGGGACGGTCAATTTGTTTCGCTGGGCATTTACGATACAAGACCGTCACAACATGTACGGCCTCTATTCGCACGTTTCGTCATCGATATGAGCTGACCTCGTCGCAAGCCCATATCCATCCACAGTCGGTGTTGTTTAACGAAGTAACGATTTTCGAAGCACCTACACGCGCGAGGTCCGTCGTGCGAGCAAACACTGAAGCCAGATTCGTATCAGATTGACCTATAGCAGATGCAGGCACGTTATTGCCTGCTGTAGACAATATCCGATATTACAGCAAAAGCTCATCTCGCCTCCATTTGCTTATAAAATATCCGCGATTGTATGGAAATTTCGCAATTGACGGCAAGAGTCGTTGGAATTGCAGTTTATCAACAGATTGGTATTTTTCTTGTCATTCTTTGCCAGTTCCAATTTTTTCTTTTACATTATCTAAGTAATAAATTATATGAATAGATGCATGTATCTCTGACGAAAGATCTGCGATTGATGCTTCTCATCAAAATATTATCGAACGGTAGAAGAAAAAATTATGAATATTTCGCACTTATAGCAGCTTCTAAAAATAGGACGTAGATTCAATAAGTCAAATATAACCGTTCAATATCGGTAAATCGAATATTCTATATTTTACTAGGTAACTTCGACTTATCACCTTTAACGTCAACCATTTTCGAAGAATCAGAATATTTTTAACGCGTACTTTTTAAATTTGAGTCTATCTAACATAAGAAACAATTTTATCTATTTTGAATACAGTAATTAATTATTTACTTGCTAAGTTCATTTAAATTATTTGAAAATCAATCGAGTCTAATTAAAGAATTCTTCGATAAATATCGTAATTACTATTAAGAATGTTTTATGTCAAGTATTTTTAATCAATATTTATTTTCTAATAATTCCTAGAGGCTTGACTTGTAACAGAAGATATTCGTAAAACGATGTAACGGTTAAGAACTAATTATAAAACGATTTACTTAATTAATTCAGATTAAATTAAATTATTTCAGAATAATATTCTATTTATTCACAGTCTTCTAATGTAAACGGAAAAAAGTGCACAGAAAAGATTTTGCGATTACGTGTAGTGTTAATTTCCGTTAGTTTGAAGAAACTTTAAGTGGAGATCCCAAAGACCTCTTACCTTCATAATCTTTTTCCGTGTAAGACTGATGAGTAGTCCTCGCGCCCGGGTCTTTCGGGGCCTCATCGTCACCTGTCCCGCCCGGATGGGCCCCGCCACTGCCGGCTCCCGGCTGCATCCACGGTCTGTGAAAATTAATTAAATGTTTGATTTAATTATCGCGATGCCGATAGCGACGACGATTCCCCGTATGCACCCGCTACATCAACGCAAGTTTCTATTATTAGAGCATTAACGAGTTCTCCGCCGGCAGAAATACCGCCGGGTTCGTTTGTCCGTGACTTTGTTCCCTTTCTGAGGTACGTGCTGCTGACGGGAAATTTTCCCCTGGTGAACGTCCAGCCGGTGTTTTATTAATAAAATCCGATTCAAATTTTGTTGTTAACGTATGGCCGATTAATACACGTGGAAAGCTGTCTATTCATTTTGGCGACGATGCCAAATATGTGCACGCGAGCGTGCATCGACGTGAAATATTTTGTAGGCGTTTGTTCACGACCGTCCGCAACTACTGACACCAGTTAATAATAATTAAGCTTCCACCGTCGCAGTCACTTTGCACTGCTTCCTCCTCATCTTTCTCCTTCCGCTTCCATGCTATTAAGTTTCATTTCAGTCCTCCTTATATTTAATTATTTAGTTGTTTTAATGCAGTTTATTTCCATTATACACGTTTTTAAGTGATTTATCTCTATTAAGGAAAATATGAATATATAATAATAAATGTAGTCGTATAAAATATGCAAACTTTTCAATCTCTAAGTTAATTATTTTTCTTTCTTAGTAAAAATTTAATCTTGCTTTGATTTTAATTTCAGCTCGTATATACTTCTGAAATAATTTGGTGATCAAGTAATTCTTTGACACAATTATATATATACATTTTCACCTTGTATCTGTGGCACTGTTCTCGTTTGCAAATTGTCGTGAGGCTTTTATGTCTTTTACCGTCCTTGCAAGAGATATATAAATTTCGATGTTCTCGTTGTGCTTTTGCTCAGTAACAAAGTTGAATTGAGCACATTTTGCGGCAAGTTATCTTAACAACGATTTTATTCATATCGGTGATTTCAATCGATTTTCTAAACGTAGTTACACGATATTTCTGAATTCAAATATTATGTTAAATAAATTAAAGACAATTTAAATGTTGACTGACGGCTCGTTGTTCTTAAATAATAATTAATAAAGAGATGTTCAAAATTTTCTGCATCCACGGTCTGCAAAAAAAAGTTCATTTGTTCATATTTAAATAATTTTTATCTGTTTTTGTTAACGTGTGTATCTTTATTCGAGCTGCAAATCTTATCGGAGTTTGTTCAATCGGCTGATTATTTCCTTTAACTGATATGATAGTAGTAGAAATTGTACAATTGTAGATAGTTAGACATCAGTAAATAGTGGTAGATATCATTTTATTCTACATGTTACACATTCCATGTCACGCCATTCTTGTATTACATAAGGAGCCAACTTTCTTTTGATGCAATGTGATATAAAATAAATGCATTAAATCATTTTGTTCGGTTATAGTTGGCACTTGACAGATGGTCTGTTAAGAAACTTTTCGCAGCTCGCGTGAAAATAAGGAAAATCAAAGAACTGAGAAAAGAGATAGATGTCAAAAACATTTCAAATTCGTGTTCAAGCAAATATAAGGCTGAATGCGAATTAATTACAAAACAAAAAGAGGACAATAGACGTGGGTGACAGTGCGAGTAATCCAAATACGATATTTCAACAGAATAAGCTGGAAATGCGGAAATGCGTTTAATCAGCCTACGCAAAAGCTAACATTTGGTCAGACAACATTTTGTTTTGTTTAAGATGTTGTTTGTATTATCGTGATGTAATATTAGATACATTTGTAAACAAAAATAAAGGTGTTATTAAAATGATGAATTACCTCAAAATAATAAATTCATTAAATACAGTTATTATACGTTAGTTTTACGCGCTATAAAGTATTCGAGAGAGAAGACAGGAATTTATAAAAACAGCATAATCTTTCTGTACACATCTGAAATATTCATAATTAATAATCATATAATTGTATCTAATATAAAACTATTCGAGATAATTTATAAATTCGGGTTTTTTAAATATTACAAATAATAATCATTATTACAGAATATATAATAATTTTAAACTTTATTTTAAATCATAAATAAATAATACTTTTATTATGTATATTATATTTATACATAATAATATTAAAAATTTAGGAATTTTAAACAATCTCTACTAATTGACTAATTCGATAAAATGTACAGTCTGTTTGAAATTATGCAAACATTCCAAAAATGTATTAAGCACATAATTAAATGTTAATTCCAGCGGACTTGTCTTATGACATTACAAATTCTTCAGCTTAATCGATAAACACTTTTATTTAAGTTTCTGGAATTTCAGAGAATCGTCTTATGACATTACAAATTCTTCAGCTTAATCGATAAACACTTTTATTTAAGTTTCTGGAATTTCAGAGAATCGTCTTCTCTCCTGATTGAAAGTGTTTTCTATTATTTTTCTCAGAAGAAACAAGCGTAATAATATAGTTGTCTGTTATGATATCTTCATCTTGTCGTGTAATCATCTTCTTCCTCTGAGACATTTACTAATTTCCTTTTGCGTCGACATTCCTCCGTTCTCACGTTTATCTACGGTTATCCAAGCAACTTTAATGTTAAGTAGATAATATCGTGACACAAATGTATAAAAATGATTGTTAAAATAAAATGTATAATTTGCTAAAATTTAATTCCGATAAGAAAAGTAGATAATTAACTTAAAAGCGATAAAAAAGGAATATTAATTTTAAAAATGAATATTTCTATCCTCTAATTTCCCGCTTACGTCAATGTGTGAGGTGTTTTGTCCTTCAAATCCACGATTTCCTGAGATTACGATTAACGAATTGATCGATCAAAGCTCTGAAAGAATGGCAGACCGTACATAAACGATGTACTTGCCAAACAAAAGTTCGACGTGAGTATTATTATCTAGAATGTAAGTCGCCTCGCGTAATAGAGATAGACGAGTACTATTGTTCATACACATTTACGTTCGCATATCGATTATGCAACTACCACGGTCACGTTTCTTTCGATATTCCGTTCACGTTCACCCTTCTAGAAGCGGCTAAATTACTATGCTAATCGCGATTTAATTTTAGGATGTAAACAACAACTTTCATAGAACAGAGATTGCACGTGCATCGTCCTTCTCTTGGAATAATGTGACTACCGAATTTCGCACGCGCAGTAGTCTGCGATTATGTGGAAAGTAATAGCGATAACGAGAGAGAGAGAGAGAGACAGAGAGAGAGAGAGAGAGAGAGAGAGAGAGAGAGAGAGAGAGAGAGAGAGAAAATGACGATAATATCGCTGACTAATGAATGGCAGCAACAAGGTTTAAATTTATTACTATGTCTTGATGGTATAAAAAAAGAAAGAATTTAAAATTAATTTAAGATAATTAGTTGAAAAATAAGATGCATAAAATCAAGAGAGAAGAAAATGTATTTTTTCTGCTCTATATAACTTTTCATCATAACTAAAATAAATTTTAATTAATTTAGACAGGAAATGCCATTAAAGTATTTTGTATTCCTCATTGAGTTTTCCATTTACTAATTATTGTTTCATTCATTACTATTTGTTAGACTGTCCCTAATGTTATTGTAATGTTATTGGCATGACTATTACCATCGATTACGAAACGTAAATTTAAATTATTTGCAGGTATTACAATGGATTACAGAAATAATGAAAATAGAACGGGCTATTAACTTCAAAACTTAATTTGCGTTATAATGTAAGTACAACGTATAGAAGGTGTACTACAAAAACGGCATTCTCTGATATTTTGCAAAAATTCGTGCAATAATAAAATTTTAATTTAAATACGATAATTTTGCATTGTAAAAATATAATTTTAACAGAATTTTTGTGCAATATATATTTTCGCAAATTATACATATTATGTATAAAATATAAAATTAAATAAAAGAATTATATAGTAAGTAATGCGGCGCAATAATGCATTTCATTAACAAAGAACAACACGCGGATGTGAATGAAGTGTAATGCACTGCATCGTCATGATGCTTCTACGTGTCCGACAATGCGTCATGATATAAATGAGCACGTAAAAAGATATGGTACGCCACGATTATCTACCTACGCTACGGATGTTAATTTTGACACGTGTTTTGCATAAGCGTTTTGTGCTTTGTCATCTTGTAACAAAGACGAAATTACATTAAGTGCGCGTGAAGATTATAATAGTCTTCTCACATAATAGTCTTCTGTAACTTGAAACTCCTTCTTACTAGTTTTCATTCAATACTTGAGATTGCTATTTTTAACTACGAAGGTCTCCTCGTTCTCTTTACTTGTTTACTCGATTGCTACTTATTCGGCCACGAATGCAGTAGAATGAAATAAAATAAATAATGGCAAATGCCACGGAGATTGTAATAAATTAATATGGCAGCTCCTTATGCCTAAAATTCTGCTACCTTGTTGCTAAAGTGGTAAAATCTCCTTTCTCTCTCTGGTCTCTCCCTGGTCTCACCGACCGCCTCGAAAGCGTCGACGACGCTCACAATCAGTCACACGACACGGACAGTTTGACGTTCACCGAGAGTGCGCGGCATTTCTTATATCTTTTTCCCGATGACACGTGGCGGGAAACGGTCAAACGCACCGCACATGCACCTAGTCGCAGATGCAACTGGCGCGAGACGAGCTTTACGCGGCGCGAATCAGTCGCAGGCAGAGCGGGGAAGACGGATCGTTTAATCTGCTTTTTCGTGGGCGCTGCCAGGTGCAGCTCTCGGCGACGGACGCAATTGCAGCGCTCGATATAAACGCGAACGACGCATGCACGTGCTGTCAGGGTCGCCTCCGCCTCAGTGTCTTCGCGGAGAAAGACAGTAGAATAACGTCGACGTCGCGATTCCGCGTTATGCATCCTCAATGAGTGCTATTTGAAGGCCTGCATCTTACGTGCTCCTGAACTATGTTAATGTACTGGGTCTGGTGTGGTTTAGCGAGGCCTGGTTTTGCATTTTCTGGCTAGCTGTTAACCGGAGGCTAATCGACTCTCTACCTTTTTCTATATTATTATCTAAGAAGAGACAGGTAGTCGACCAACCTCTGGTTAACATTTGACCAGAAAATGAAAAACCGGGCCTGAGACACTCTAAGGCCGAAAGAACCATCGGTTCGTACGCTAACGGTGTTAAACGAACGGGATAACAGATAATTGGAGAAACTGATTTACCCTCCGACAATATTGTTGGTCTCGCGAAAGAGTATACGTGGCGAAGACAATCGCCAATGCATCCTTCATCGATTGGTTCGTGCATTTTTGAGACTGCCACTCGATGGAATGTCAAGACCGCACTGTCAACTACCGATTACGAGCCGTCAAGTGGATAATTACCACAATACGATTACCCTGGTTGTACCTATGTACAAAGCTCTACATAATGAATGGCCTATTCGTCCGAGCTGTCTCTCTAATGGAGGAAGAGTGATTTGATAAACGAAGAGAGTGAATGATCATTGTGCTTAATTATTAGAGGAATTGCTCAGTGCTTCTGGATGGCCAAAAATCTTGGCAATCTCGGAAAAAGATACACCTGAGAAACTTCCCCTTTCCATCTGTTTTTATTATTTCTTTTTATGCAACTTATTTGTTCACATTGGAACCGTTTAATTATATCGAATAAATAACCGTGGCACGAAAGTTTTTTTTAAATATAAGCTGCTACGTCAAATATGCAACATAAAAATTATTCGAATCTCGGTCGTGCATCCAAATATCAACGCGAGTTTACTTATATGCTAAAAATACATCTGCCGAAGAGCTCTCGAGGGGTTCCGACCAATATTTTGAAATTACACTTTCTAGATATAGCTTTGTTAAAAAAAAGACTGCAGTATGCAGCAGTTTATATTCTGAAATGTTTCAGATATTATCGGTGCATTTAGCAAAACAACTTTATCTAAATCCATCATTGCGAGGCAGTTTCTAAACAATTTATTCTGACGACTCATTATCGAATAAGTCATAGGTGTATAATGTTATATAGTGTCACCTAATCTATTGCGTCTTCTTAATTAACATATAAATTATTAATCTGCTTCTCGTATTATCAAACTGTGTCTTATATCTTGACTTAGACGGATACGAAATTCGTATTAATAACTAATCAAGAATTAATACAAAACTAATTTAATTTAATAATACTAACAATAAGAGCCAGTTTCACAAATGTCGGTTAACTAGAGATTAGTCGATCCAGAGAGTCTCTTTATCCTTTTCTATATTATTATCTAACAATAAGAAGAGACAGAGAATTAACCTCTCACCAGTTAACCGACGTTTGTGGAACTGGCTCTAAGGGAATTTTTAATTCTATTACACATCCTTCTTTGAATTCATCAGACTCAATTTCGGTTACCACGCAGTGAAATTAATGAAGAATTGGATCAACGTCCAAATCGCGCAAGCGACATTGCGAATCGAATTTTTGCGAAATTGCTCGAGACATACTCGTTGGATTAATTCTATTAGCTGTCAAAGAAAAACATACATTTTAATTATACTAGAAATAAAGTGCATTAGACATGTAGGTAAAAAAAAATGAAGTCTTTTTAAAATGGGGTAAAGGAAAATATTATCGATGACAAGTCAGGATGCGACAGTTTAGATATGCAAAATGCATAAATGTCTATAATACACGAGAAAAGGGAACTTTAAGCGCTGGTGCATTGCGCTGTGCTTCCGGTTTCGGAGCAAGCGAACAAATTCGGACGAGGAAGCGGACAATGCTCGGGATGATGATCAGGCGCGGAGGTCGGCGGACAGGCCAATGAGACCATTAACGAGCGACAACAACGTCAAATGAAAAGGTCCTTGTGATACGACACTTTTCCGTGGACATGCAGCGATAATTGGTGGCTTAATAACGAAAATAACTGCGAATCGTTTCGATGGACACGTATGGTAATACACAGCAATCGTCGACGGTAGTTTGTTCGTGAGCGTATTAATTACATAATTGACAGGCGACTCGAATCTAAGGACCATCAATGTCTATTATATCACTCATCAATTATCGCAATTGGTAATAGCAAATGACTATGAAACGCCCTCCAAATTTGCAACGCAATAATTGCTAATCTCGAATGTGCCAAGAGCGAAATGATGTAACAGTTTCCGTTATGATGTCAAGCACAAGCATTGAAATCTCTTACATATAGGTAATATAAAAAAATCTAATAAACATGATAGTATAATAAATATAATAATTTAAGAATATCGGATGTAGTAAAAAATAAGTATTAAAAAATTAAATAAATATATACTAAAAGTAAAGTTTTAATTCGTATAAAAATATTCCTTTGTATTATATATTTTTTTCAATATATTAATTATAGATATTGCAAGAGATAAATTTTCAAGCATTTGTTACACTTTACATAGTCTTCTGTAAACACGCCATAAAACTGTCGCATGTTTGTGCATTTTTTTTAATATGTGACAACAATAATTTTCTAAAAAGTGTACGTTTAATGCACGAATGGCCTCGGTTTGCAAACGATATCGCATGAAAAATGCATTTTTCACTTCTCACGTGTAAAGAATGACGAATGAAACAAATCGAGGCATGACACTAACAGGATAAAAAATTGACTGCAAAGCACCTCGACATTTTATTGATATAAAAATACCAAACGACACCCGAGTTGTCATTAAGCAAGCAAATCCATTAAATACTCGATTGCCTCCAAGAAATCGCGCTATGTTTAAAGTGGTTTGTGAAACGAATTATCATTGGCGAGCGTTCACATAAGTATTTTAGAGAAAAGGGAAATCGCATAGAAAATAAGTGCAATGAGCACTCGAGAAAATTAGAGTACCGTTTAATATTTAGAATATTATTAAATATTACTTGAGAGAATTATCTTTGAATATAACTAACGTGATTCGATTAGCTGACGTTATTTTATATATAATTATGTAATTATATATAGAAATATCTTCATAAAGGTACTGTCTGTTAATCTTATTTTGTCAAAGAAATTACAGTTACAATCGACAATTTTGACCCACTTCATATATAAATAACAAAACATTGTACTTGAATAATTACTACAGATATATTATTTATTGTAATTAATAACAAGACCATTGTTGAATAGTATAATTTATCTTTCCTGAACTGTCGCAGTGTCATTGTACTATCGATCGAACGATATTTTCGTGAAGGAATTAATAAATAATGAATAAACTCTGATACGCAAATAGTGTTATCTCGTAAATATGTACACGTGTGTCAACGGTATTTATTTTTAAGACTGAGAATTCGAACAGAAACGGCACGAAAGCTAAAACGATAAAAATGATCAAAGTTGATATACAACAGGTAAGATTAACAGGCACAACTCGTGAAATAAAATTCCACCGTGATCGTCACTCCGTAAGTGAAGACTGCGTTTATCTATCGAAACATAATTTCACACGTGTATAATTTAAATCTAGTCGCATTTAATGCGATTTTCTCTTCCCCGTTAAACGCACGCTGACGTATTGTTAGCATCAGTTGGAGTAAGCAAAATTTTCGGTGTAAACATGTAGCAGCCTTAAATAGCCACTGCATTTTCGGGGGGAAGAAAGACGAATGCGCGTGTGGAAAGAATAGCGGGAGTAAGATTGATGGTGACACACACTGTGCTAAGTTTTAATAATGCTGATGCAGAAGATAGTCCTTAGATAATTTTCTTATAACTTTATACCTCGCAAAGCATAATGAAATAATAAAGATGATCTCAGTACATTGCATGCCAGTGCTGCATGTATGTGCGTAAAAAGAGACGTAAACAATAAATATATATATGTAAAAACTTATATGCACATATAGAAACTGTCTTTAAAATTTACGAATCATTATTGAAGTGAGATTTAATATTATTATAAAATTATAAATTTATATTATAACATTTTGTAATTTTTTGCATTTTAGAATTTTATATTTTATTCATACACGTCCGCTTTAAATTCTCCTTTTAGCACATGCATTTTTCCCAGCTGCAACGCATCAATAAAATGTGAAGATTCGCTGAACACAGGCATTGAACGTCAAAGTGCATCGGCGTTGAATCTCTCGCAATATTTCGGATTACGTAAATCATTTACACGGCAGATGCAAACTCACCCGAAGCAGTTTTATAAAGCAACGCGTATAAAAGTCAGCAAAAATGTTATTCTACCGTAAGAAGAAAGTCGTAAAATCGAGATCTTGTTGATGAAAGAGGAGCGGATGGAAAAAGCAATCGATTAGCCACTCTAAATACCAATGGGACTTCTATACACCTTTAAAGCATAAGAGAGGTCAAAGGTCAATTATCCCTGAATAAACTGTTACTTTCAAATGGCCTCGTTCTTTTTCAGTTTCTCTGAAATAACTCTTAAACTGCGTCAGTACGTAATTTTTGCGCGGAATCATATTATTTTCTAACGAAGTGATACTTGCACTTTGGTACGCATTTGTTGTTTGTACTGTGCGTTCTGTGTACTTGAAATTCCATTATTATTCCAATTGCACATTTGTTCGCGACGATAGCAGGAGTATAATTTTTTTTTAAATAATTTTACAACTCTACCTTTATGTAAGTTCATTTTCCTGTTCGCATTTTCCAAAAGTCTTTCAGAAGTGACTTTTTGTAAAACAACATCTTTTGTAAAATCTCCGTATGCACATTTATTGTTCTTTGAATATTTATTCTAAGCATATTTTTTTAGATAATATCGTTTACTGAAATTTCTAGAGATATCGTACGTATCGCTCTTCGATTATTGGTAAGTATAAATTATTGCACAATACCGTTGACATTTGTTTCCGCATATTTCCCCGCGCACCATATGATATATAGATAATTTAGATAATACGAGTGCAATTGCAGAATGAATTTGCGTGTCGCATGTCGATTATCAATTCCGTCTCGATGAGCTGATATTTTTTCCAGGTTCGCTACTCGATAACGATAATCATTGTATGTAGAATCGAGCACATATAAACGCTGATAAGAGAATCCATGTGACGTTACTTGGGTCAAAGTGCGGGTCAGCACGTGATCGACGGTTAGATATTGCGAAATACTTATTCTTCCATGATTTTTATAAATGAATTGAGCGCGTACGTACGAGAAAGAAGATTTGTTTAAACGCGGTCAGCTGACTCTATTCATGTTTCATGTTGCAAGGTGAATCTTATTCAAGGCTACTACTGGAATTAAACGCGTTTCGTGCAATGCACGATTGCATGATTAGTACAGCCGATTATAAGTTGGCTGGATCAATTGTCCAATTTTTACAACATCAGACGTGTCTTGGATGTCAATTTTGCATTCAAATTACTTAACTCAAATTTGTGAGTCAAGTAAATATTTTATTTGTTTAAACTATTTCTCCATTATCCCCGTTTACTGCTATTATCATATTAATATTGGCATCAGTAATTGACGTGCCTACATTTTTACGCGTAAGTAGAATTGTTTAAATATTTTAAATGAAAAATGTCATTAATCGTAATAAAAGTAGCATAGATTGTGTTTTTTCCCCCACAAAACGCTATCGATATTTTCATTATTCGATACGTTTCCTCCTACGAGCGTTTAGAAATTGTTCTAGGAAATTTTATTGACGGATATCAAAACACATTGAAATTGGCCGGCACACTTTCCCCGTTATCATCATCGATAGCGCGTTTCAGTTCTTCTGTGCTTTTATAGAGATCGTTCGAGCGTCGACGTCGAATGCATCGAGAATCTTGAGGAAACAATTCGTGATCCAATATAAATACGATAGAACGGCGAGCGCAAATTTTGTACCAACATCTGTTGCACCTTCGGCTCGCGGAATCGATCAATCTGGTAGCCTTAATCATCGTGGCGGCGATTCAAATAGTTTGAACCGCTAATACATTATTCGCACAATGAGATTCGTCAACGGATGAAAATAATGAATTAGTGCACGCGTGTATATTAATTTAATTATTCATAAATAAGTCTAATTGAGAATATAAATTAGCAATGCCCAATTTTCGCAACAACGCGCCAGTATTGCCGACACCGGCTATCATTTGTCGTATACGAGAAGCAAGTGTAACGAAATACAATGTAAAAGAACGTAATCTGCAAGTTAAGAAATTATTAATCACAGCAAGAGCAGAATTGTGCCACGTAAGCATTATTTGAAAGACCCTACTTGTCGAATTGCATGCCTTCTCGGAGCTCCACTGGTGATTGCACCTGAAGAGATCCGTCAGCGCGACGACGAGCACGATGGAGAATGCACTTTTGGCTGGCAATGTCAGACGGTGATCCTCATGTCGGAGTCGCCCCGTTTCACGAGTAAATACAGACGCGCGTGGACAGACGGGAATGTGTATTCAATTACTTCTATCTCTCTCTCCTTCTCTCTATGGGTCTGCTCACATATACACGCGTATGCACACGTGCACACGTTGCACTACGTACGTACGCACGTCTGCGCACCGCGGTGTATGCCGGAGGACTGTTTACCATCGGCTGACAGCCAGATGATAGCTTCCGATCGCACTCTCCTCGGTACCAGCGACGGCCAGCAATCGGCCAGTCGCAGCAACCAGTCAGTGGCTGGCAGCAGCGCGGAGACAGTCATCCGGTGATTCTGATAAGGAAACTCCGCCCAGATAGTGCCGAGATATGCTCGCGAATCCGGTCAGGCTGTCAGGGAGGGGTGTTATTCACTGTCATTTCGAAATCGGTGACGATGTGACAATCGTCGAGTAAACGATGTTGTTCAGATCATCCGAAGACTAGTCCGCAGTTTCAAAGAAGCCGCACGCCATTGCAGCACTCTCGCCGAGATTCCCATTGTAGATGGATATAGGAAGCATGAATTCTTCAGTTAGTGAAGGTGTATCGGTGACCGCGCGTCCCGAATTTTACGTTTTATTTCATCGCCGAATCGATTCGCGCGATCTGCGAGGTTAATTTTTTAGTTTCATGTTGCACATTTACAGGACGACGAACGCAAAATTTGCAGACTGAAAGAGAAAGAGAGAGAGAGAGATAAAAGTACGATTGAATATCACGTGAGGATTAAAAAGATATTTATCTTCGCCAAACTTATAATGGTTATATCCAATTATCGGTGCTCTGAAATTGAACGGCGCAAAGTGGATAATATTATTTCACGATGTGCAAACATTTCGATCGTTGCGGCGCGAAAGGCGTAGGTTCTGGCTCTCCAAATAAGACAGATCTATTTGGAAAACAGCGGCTCCTGATAATCCCTCGGTCTCCATTTTATCTTACTTTTGTTAAGTTTTATCGGCATAAAAATATTTTCATGCAAGTCCAGAGCCGTTGCATGTAAAACGCGTATAATTTGGATATGGTTTATCGAGCACAAGTAAAAATCTCATAGAAATAATACAGCGAGATAACAAGAGATAAAGTAACTCAATATATTGGCGTTTGTAAAAGAATTATTATCTATGCGATATGGAACGGATAATATAATGATTATAGGATAAAAGCGAGATAATGTTTCTCTCGTTTAAGAAGTTATCTGAGAAACGCAGAAACGATAAAAACGACCACAGTATAATCGGCACATCTCTAATGCGCCCGTCAGTTGTAAAGTCTGCATTATTGCGCGCGCACCAAATACACGTCTTTCATTATACGAATCATTTATAGATAGCTGGTGTCGCTGCATTGGAAATCATTTTGATGCCTGTGCAATGATAGGTTTGACGTGCGGATGCGAATGCGATATTACCTTGTGCAAGAATACACGTCGACACAGCAGTGGTATTTATCGTTAGTTCCGAAGAAGGGAGAGATTTGCATGCGATGATGTTGCGCATTAGAAACACGTGGCACACGTACCTGTTGTTGCCTACTTTGCGTAAATTATCCTTTCGAGACATTATTTGTGTTTATCGAGAAATATACTGATCTCTTTATTGCCTTACTGTACTAATCCCGATAAGTATTACTTACTGCATATCTATCTCGTTAGGGAAACTTAAAAATGAACTGAAATAACTTTAACGGCAGCGTGACAGCAGATATTTACAACTTCGTTGTTTTCTGGACCATATCTGGCATTTTTTATAATACAGAAAATTTATTGCGAAAAATATTACCTCAGCCAGGGTTTCAACCTGGACGTCCCTGCACTCTAGACCACCGAGGCATGTCTCACAATCAGTCAAATTGGTGAGACGCCCACCTAGAGTGTAGGGAGGTCCAGGTTCAAACCCTGGATGGGGTAATATTTTTCGCAATAAATTTTCTGTACGAGTATTATTAAAAATGCCAGATATAGTGAAGAAAACACTGAAGTTGTTAATTATTGCTGGCGACATATTCTTATTAAATATATTTAATTAATATTTAATTATTAGAAATGTAAAATTAGCGCTCCTTTCGTTTGCTGTATACGAGCAGAGCCCGTTGAAATAAAAGTTTTGCCCAAACGGCCACTGGAAAGAATGTAGCTTGTTAGCAAATAATTCTATGCAATGGCATTATTCAAATGACATTAGTGATTCCAATAGAATTGGTTATTTCGCGCTCTAGCGCATAGAAGTGGCGAGTAGCGCATATGTCATAAATAATTAATCGCGCGAATGAATATTGCATACTGCATTTATGGTCACACCCGTAGGAGAATACGATCAATTTGTTTAATCGCGCGCTTATATACCCAGAAACCACATGCGCCTCTACATATTCATGAACCAAACTGACCAGTAATTATTCCATTATTTTTTTAATACACCTGCATAATTGAATTGCTACGAAGGATTAGAAAAACTTGCTGAAAGAAGCTCGTAACAATTTATTTCTTATAACGCGAATTCTTCGGATGTGTACGTAATAATTAATGATCCTCAAATCTCGTTTCGTTTTAATAATAAGACAATGTAGTCTTCTTAATCGCTTCACTTGCGCTTTTGTATCAGAATTCAACTTATACTCTGACCGTTTAGAAATTAACGTATGCGCGCCGAACGATATTAGATCGACTAAAGAGTCTTTTTTGGTCATTTTAAGAGTTCATGCAAACCTTTTTCCTCACCACGATTGCGCAATCGCTCATTTAAATTTCTGATTATGTAAATCTATAGATCTCTACAGCACACGTCTGATCGCTCATATATATTTTGTGACGACGAGCGGTGCAAACCGCTGAGAACCAGAGGCAGCGGGTTAATACCAATTTGATAATAATATGGGCTTAATTAGCCGCAGATGCTTTCGCACGTCAGATAAAAGTGAAAAGAGCGCTCAAAGCCCGGGGTATTGCGTATTATCGCCGCGTGTTTCGTTATCAGGCTACGGTAGCCGCAGAAAACAGTTGTGTCTATCAGTTGAAGAAACGACCTGTTATCACTGTTGCGATGCCTGACGAGAGACACGACACGCTGTCTAGCAGGGAATTTGAATAATGCCGCCACAAACTTTCGCATATGCAGCATTGTCTCGGTATACAATGTGTTTCATAGTTGCTGTTCATATCTTTCCAATTATTAATACACGCAGCGCGCGATTTTCCTTCCGATTTTTTTTTCGTTTAAAGAGATATTCGCATTTTGCGTTATCATGCCGTTTGAATTATAATTCAAACATTTGCATATATCGGAAAACGAGAAAGGAAATCTGTAACTATGAATATGTAAAGCGTTCTCGCATTACTCGGCGAGATATTTAATGAGATATTTAGCAAGGAAGTTTAAATAGAAAAGTATATTTCACTCTGACGCACGTAATAAAAGTTTAATCAAAAATCGATCTCTGCTGAAAATTGTAATTTTTGGCCATATTTCCAGTGAAGCTCTTGGTGGAAATTTTACCAGATAAAAAGCCGGGTTCAATTATCTGCGAACGATAATTAATTTAGGAAAATGTTTCAACGTACCAAACGCAAGTAAACACAGCCCATGAAATTTCCGTTAAAAGGAAATTATTCATTCTTAAATATCTATTCATCGTGACTTGCGCAGTGTACACGAGGCGAGTTTTCATTCTTTACAGCGCCCCTCGCGTTAAACCGTTCTCAATTAGCGTCTGTTTAGGCACCGTGAGTCTTTTTAGAGCCAATCAGTACGCACTAAAGACTTGTAAATAGTATCCTGTCACCGACGTCTCATCATTTTCCTCGTTATCTCTCGACTTGTCCTTGTCTGATAAATTAGACGGTACAGAACCAGCATACATTAAACGTATGCGAGCCCAATTTAACGTGTAACTCGTACAAGCGCGTGATGAGATGATAATGCCCGCCAGCCCCATTACAATGGCACGTAAGTTGATCAGCCAAACTGGTAGAATCTTTCGATAACTGTTGCATGATTCACAATATGTATACCGGACAACACTATATCACGCGTCATTAACTCAGGGATATTCGCGCTTTGAATAATCGGCGAACGTAAATATTTCCTTCTCCCTACTCTACATAATAATAATGATAAATATCACGTTTCTCAAGTAATTTAACCTGTCTTTACGTCCAACGTCAGTCTAGAATGTATAAATACACGTGCTTAATCGCAAGTGTTTATTGCACATCTGTTGCTTTACTTACGTGTTTAAAGCGATGCAAATTTTATGACGCGTTACTGACAGATTAAACGACCTGCGATGATTATTGCGTAATCCGTGACTGATCGCTCGATTTTATTCTTGAAGATATACACTTTAAAGTCTGAAAGAGTTTAGACTCAATTTGAGTAGACGCTATCTGAGTATTCATATCGAGATTTCTGATAATTAGTCTACCTTAATATCTAATCCGTACTGTGTTAAGATAAAAAGTAAAATATTAACAAACTTATCAGTTATTTAATGCCTATAATTTACGTACGTTTTCATGTACGAGTCTAGCGTGAGATAATAAAAACTACTGTGGTATCATGTTTCGAATACTATTCCTTTTGTAAATACCGTCACGCTAATAATGCGATAATAATAATTAATGATAATTTGCTGATTAGCCACTACACATACGCGATTTGATATAACATTAAGCATTTATAGTATTCGAAACATGCAAAAACCTTTGGCGTACTCATTAAATATGTAAACTCACCTCCTGATTTACTTGCAGTCTTGAATGCACCCTGATTATAACTTCCTTTCCTCCGAGTCGATCACGTTCTATCAAACAGCCCGCATAACTACAGGAAAGAGAAAGAAAGAGGGAGAGAGACGTCACACTTCATACACGTGGATAAAATAGACTAGATTTCAATCAACGACGGAAGTTTCGATGCTCTCTAATTAAAGTATCTTTTTACAGTTCCCTCGCGAGCGACGTTTAAAAGATTTCATGCTAGAAGAGATTAGAAAAGTTGGAGAGCGCGTGTTCTCCGCTGCTTGAACTTGTTTCGTTATTTTCTCGAGGAGAAGATCAAGAGGAAAAGAATTAAATATTGAATAATTTACAGAGATGCTGTGCCCGAAGTGCTCTCGTCGCGAACAATTACACGAAGAAACTGCTCTCGAGTTAAGTTAAAGAGAATCGAAAACAATGATTTAATCTGATGACAGCTCAACGAAATAAAATTTCGAGTTATCAATTTCATAAGTAAAGGGTTGCAATCGTGAGAGGTTGAACTTTTATTAAAGCTAATTTTTACGACGAAGCCGATAGCGGTCTCTTGGGGAAATAACGTCTAGGGAATCGAATAGAATTAAAAGATGGTAGCTTTAAACATGCGAACCGTCGATTCACCAGAGTTTAACGTCGCGTCGCCTTGACCTGGCGACTGCGAATTGCTGGGATAAATGCCGCCTATAAAAAGCCGTCGTTACAAATTCATGCAACCTTCACTACCTCCGCCCTATTCGTTCGCAACTGCGACTGCCACGAGCGGAACGATCGAACGCGAACCGCCCTTCGCCCTGTCACCGAGAGCAACAATGACTTTCGCCTCAGTTTCTATCTAAGGGTGCTTGCAATGCAAACTGATAGCTGAAAAGTATGGTCGGTTTGTCCTAGAAATTTTGTTCACTTTTAGTATGCTCTGCGCGTGTGTGTGTGTGTGTGTGTGGGTTTTGTGTGTATTTACAAGTAAATATACTTTCCATAAATTTTATTTGAATAAATATATTCTTTAGATTATATTAAATATTTACTTTTTGATGCACTAAAGTTTTATATATTATTTAAGCATTGACACTAGTGCTTTAACTCCGATGTTGGCGAGGAATCAATATCAGAGATAATCTAGACAAATAGTGTTTTGTTATCAATAATATACTGCGATGCACTCTACCGCGTTCAATGACATATATCAACTGCTTATTTTTATTATTAATTAATCGCAGAAGAATCGCGTTTTATCATTACCAGTGACACTTGCATCGTCTGAATGATATGAATGATTAACAGTACCGACACATTATTCCTCTTAAGTGCCTCTAATCCTGCTGTAGACAAATGCGAATTAAGCCTGATATGTATTAGGTTTGTACACATAACTTTTATTATTTAAGTTTCTAAACGTACACCGTTAGAAATCTGTGATATGTGTCTGCAAAAAGAGATCCTGCCAACACTAAATTTCAAGCTATTGTGTCTTCAGGATACGAGGGTAAATTCGCAGTCTGCAATCTTTGATAGAATGTACGTGAATATCATTTCAGATATTCTCGTTTCTTTTGCTTTTCCCTCTTTATCAGTATTGCAAATATCGCGTGACTTCTAATTAACAAAAGAATTTAAAAAGATAAAATAAATAGCGTACATAGAGCGGAATCAAAAGATTAAAACGTACGGTAGTTAAAACGCGTCTAAGTGATAAGCAAAAAAGTCACGTTGTAGCGAGTTCAGTGGCACTTATCGCCAGGAAAGTTTAGTGCACTCTCGGTAAAAGTCGCGTGCACAGCTGCTGCTGCAAGCTGGAGCGTGACGGGCACAAGATGCAATACAATGCGGCAAATTATTTTTTATCTTCAGCCACGTGACAAATTGGCAAAAAAGATGTCAATTTAAAACGCGACAGTAAAGATCTGTAGGAAATTTTCTTAAGACGTTAAACGGCAACAAGGGAACGAAGATATCGAATGGCGGTGACATATAAGTTATTAGAATGTAAGTACTCGATGACGACATTATTTTATATCCATGAATCGCCCTTATGATACATATCCGTATTATTTTTATCTAGAATTTCTCTCCCGGGGCACAAGAGCAAAAATTGAAGAAGATATGACGAAAGAGAAAAAAAAACATCGAGCTTTGAATACGTAACGTAAGAACATTCGAAGTTGTATGTTTTTCTTTCAGTCACATATTCTTTACACATTTTTCTCATTTATTCGTAGGAAAGAATCTGGAAAGTCGTTTTCTTGAAGTCCTTCAATTCTCAATATTCAAGAAATTAGAACAGTCTCCGAAATTTTACGTAATTGTAATTACATGATAAGAGATAATAAAGTTTCAAGCATATTCTTGATTAAGATCTCTTTATGTATCAAAGAGTACTTCTGCTGTACACTTGCCGTTCTTAGTGATATTAAAAATACCTAGCCTCATTATAATCTCTTTGAAGCGTATTGTTAGCACGTGTCATCCGACAATTTAATAACAACACGCGCCAAAAAGGAAATCGTAGTACTTGAAAGGACAAAAATACTAATCTCTCCTCGATTCTAAATAAATTTTACCGCTCCGGAGTAAAGGTGAAGTTAAATTAGGCTCGAGGCTACGTTTGAATAAATAATTATATAATGCACTGTGTAACATCGCCGAGCACAACAACATAACGGACGCTATAAAAACTATTTGCAACATGGCAATACGAAGATTTCATATATCTATGATGGATTAATTGTATTATGTCAATTGAGAGAGTAAATGGTGAGGAAAATCAATAATATAGAGCATCATATCTAGGAAGGGTGACGATTCTCCCCTACGAAGAGTTAATATTTCCCCTTATTATGAAATACGATGATACCCACGTAATTTTATTGCGAGATATTGTTTTTTAATTTATTTTAAATGGAAAAACATCCGCAAAGATATATTGTCTAAAAGTACAGCAAGGAAAAGATATTGCAAGACATGAAACTTTTATGTTTTATAATAGTGGGAAAGGTCGAAGCAGATTTAAGTAAAATAAAAATATGCGTTTAGCTAAATAAATTAAATAAGAAATAAATAATTATGAAAAGAAGATGTCATGCATCACGAAATTATGTTTCATGTAAATGAAGAAAATGAAAAGTACTTCTTGTTTCTTATCAAATATATTTATGAGAAAAGAAGGCATGATATCTCGAAAGGAAAATAGCTCCAAGCAGCGGGACACAATAAGAAACGACTTTTGCATTTGTAACGAAACAGCCGACTAATATAATTCGTTTATACCCGATGAACTATTAATAAACTGTTGAACGAAGTTATCGGAAACATAACTGTTTTCGCATCTTTTTCTAGATCACATTACCGGCGACAACATAAAGACGTAAAAATCGAAACTCATTTCTAAATAACTTATCTGATACAAATTTATTTGTTAATGCAGCACGTCGAGTAAACACGTATCACAGAAGTGGGGAAAATCAGAATGAAAATACAAAAATGCAATATGTGAAAACAAAAGGCAGAAGCGGGACCGGAGAGCACACGCGATCGTTTTTCCACACGGAAGCGAGCAAATCGAAGAGTACCTCTCGTGTAAACCCGGATGTGTCACGGAACGAAGATGAAAGAAAAGTGCATCGGGCGAGCGGGAGCGGGTAAGGCACGTCGCGCACGAGATCTAACGATCCTTCTTTCCCGGTTGGCAGGTGCCTCGCATCCTCCCGCAAGGTGAGGACGTAGGAGAACGCCGGCGAACAACGACGGCGTTCCCGTGTCAACCCTCGGGGCCTTTGCACGAAGGATCAACGGTGGAGAGCGTGCGGCGCGTGTCCGCGGCGCGAGAGTACTGCTTCTCGCAAAAGGTGGAGGCGCCTGCACGCTCTTCGGTATTGATCCACGTGGATGAGACTCCTCCTCGTTCGTCCGACCAGCCCCGCCGTCTCTTAGCGTTAGCCGCCCATCGGTGATCCGCCGCGTTTCAACTGCCCGCCGTTGATTCATCGTCCTACCTACCCGCTCGGATCCACGGGGATTTCCTTGACAGATCGATAATTGTCATGGACACAGTGGAGATGGTGGTAAATAATTAGACAAGCTCGCGGGGCGCGAGTTGAAACAGTCAACGACCGATTAACGCTGTAGCAGCTGTACACGCGTCTAAAATATAAATATTATGACCTTCCACGCGTAGCGCGAAAACAAAATTAATAAGATGCCTGCGCGTAAAATATAATATATAAATTGGAAAAACGAAGGAATCTCATTTAACACTTTTCAATTTTCAATTTTTTTTCTATTTAAATTTCCTTAAACTCTGCGTTATATTTGTTAATTTAAGCTTCTTCTAGATTTTGCATCGTACTACATAAATTCAGCCCCCCTTATATTTCCCTATCAACATAAATATTTATAGAAACGTTATTATTCTCTGTCGCAATTTTATGTAATGTTTATTAATAAAGAGATCAGGCATTATTGATAATTGCCTTTTTATCTAAAAATAAATGCAGAGAAAAAGTAAATTTTTTTAAGATCAATTTCCTCTCTCTGCTTACACTATTGACTTTAGCTAGTGGCTGCTGAGATTCAACTACAAATAACCTGCATTCAAATTGCAGTTTTATTCCAAAACCACTTCAGACCAATATCTAATTCTGAACAATTATTATTGTCAAAATTCGAATTGTTCTCCTCGACATGCATACGAATCTATCTATTTACATTATAAAGTATTTAGATCAAGCGGTACGGGTAAAGACTATCTTCGAAATCTACATTCGTGGGTGGCTCGGCAGGATGCTGGTAGGGTAAAAGGCACGGTAGGGTGAAAGGATGTCTGAAGGTCGTTCATTGCCCCCAAAGACTACGAATTGCCGACTAAAAGCTAATTACGTTAACTTCTTGCGTTCAAATTTAATAGATGTATGCTCGCATTTGTGAGCAAATTAAAGAAGATAGAAAATTACGATACAGATATGTAAATCTTTTTAAGAAAGACATTACAAGAAAAAATATATTCTTAAAAAAACAGTAATATTCAAAACATTTTTATTAGTTTAAATTACTATTAATATTAAAAATTTTTTTATTTATTATGTAACAACAAACTATAAACCTGATTTTATTTTGTGTAATAATCTCAAATATATTTGCACAATAAATAGCAAATTACGCTAGCTATATTCGAAAGCTATAGCGCGAGATGATGACAAGAAATAGATGTAAGTTTTGTATTATTAGATTACAAGGTGTTCTCCTCTTCGTTGGTTACCTTTTTATCGTCAAACTTCTCTAATTCTAGTAAAGAACAAAGTAAAGAAAGGTAACTCTGCTAAAACAGTTTTCGTGTAGAAAAATATATTATATATCTAATACGATACGGGGCAACGAAACTTGAAGCTGCTTTCAGAAGTTAGAGTTGAAGGGAAGGCAGAAAATTCTACTTTCTATAATGCAAATCATTCTTCAGTCTTGACAAGAATATATTATGTTCTAAGATAGGTTATTACCAGGCGTCCGTCAAGGAACGAGCCTATTATGTTGAAAGCTAGTTGGCCCAGCTTCGTTCAAGTGCACTTCGTATAAATGTCGGATTCTCTTTGCGAAGAAGAATGAAGAATAAGATTACATCGATCCAACACCGATTATTAATAGTCGACCCGCACTTTATTCACGGATTGATTTTACCAATTCCAATCACCAGCAGCATCAAGAGCATAATTCTAAAATTGCAGAATAAATTCAAATATAAATTTATGAAATACTGTGCTACTACAAGTCCAGAGAAGAATAGATTAATTCGAATTAAATAAATAAATTGATTTAATAATATTTGATTTTCATTTTTGTTTATCGTATTACAGATTTTCAGCAAAGTTTTATTACAAATCTATCGCGAGACAGCACTTGGCAGATTTGCTCGTCAAACTGTCATCGTTATATCTAAAAATCTTGATAGTAGAAGACAATTTAATGCGAAAACTTTTATGGTATATCGAAACAATTTGCTGCAATATGTCGATTAAATTGATTAAATTGACTAAATAGCTGACATGTTGCTAATTTTTTACTCACTGATATTGACATCTACGATACCACATTTTTCATTTTTATCTACTATAAGTAGTATAAGTATACATATGTATACAGGGTGAGAGTTTTGTGAACCAGTCTCTTACCATGAGAGATTGATTACCGACCAAAACGGTAGCCAACTGTGGAAAAATGGAAAATCTTGTTATATATGTCTCAATCTTGTAATATCTAATTGTATCTCTCAAAATACAAGATATTACATAATTGAAACATATGTAAACTAGATTTTTCCATTTTTTTCCCAGGTTGGCTGCAGTTTCAGTCGGTAATCCATATCACATAGTAAAAGACTGGTTCACGAAATATAACTCATCTCGCATACATATGTATATAACTATATACATATGTATATGTATAAGTATACGTTTTGTACATACATGTAAATTTATGTTGCTTCATTAACATTTTATTAACATGCAAGTAACATGTAAATACATATATCTTTTTTAATTTATACATATGTATATCTCTTATTTATACAAGGTGAATCAGAGCGGTTGTTATAACGTTTTACTATAGGAGATGGATTACCAACCGTAACTGTAGCTAACCGAACGGTTCATAGATGTCAGCTGCAGAAATAATATGTAAGTTAATAGAAGTAGAGATATTTCTCATATTTTTCATATGTATCACAGGAATCCTTAGAAATAAAACACTACAAAAATTTAATCACCAATGGAATTCAATAAATCTCTAAAAAGTAATTATTATATGTAATAAATAATAATTATGTTTTCATTGCTGAATGGAACATTAATAGGAGTAATATATGTATGTACATGTTGTTTCTGGATGAACATTTTTCTAACATGTATTCTTTATTACTTTTCAATTAAAGATATACATATTGTTATTTATTGCAATATGACAAATTATAGGTGCGTTCGCGGAGCCGCTATTTGCGCAGAAAGTATCAATCTATCTTCGTTGCTCGTTATATGTTGAAGAAAGATAGAAGACGCTTTTCGTGCTACACGGAAAAAAATAATTTTGCTGTGATAGCAAAATCGCCATTGCTACTGCATATTCGTAGTAATAGCAATAAAATTTAGTTGATAGAACTAATTTTACGAATTATTCGTCATTATAGCAAAATCTATTTTGTTGCGAGAATAGAACAAAATTTGCTGAATGTATTTGTAATTACAATCACATAAATTTGCTACTGAAGCAAAATAATATATTCTTAGCAAATACATTTGCTGTCACAACGAAATCCCGATACGCCTGATTCCCTCCTGTGGCTCTATTCCGCACACGGTTACCGACGACTATCGATATCGTTAACGACGTTGGCGCAACTTTTCTATCATGTAAAAAAAGCTGCGCAAACGTCGTTAACGATATCGATGGTCGTCGGTAATCGTGTACGGAATAGACTGAATAGAGGCCCTGAATAGATAGCACTAGTACCACATACTGCCGCGGCGTGGCGACCGCACGTCTTTCTCATAAGTAAAAATCGTCCCGTATTAGTATAAAAGGCGAGCCGATATGATGCGAGAGCGAGTTGTCTGGATCATGGATAGACCTCAATAACCTGAATATACTTTTGATGACTATGTGAGTATGTGATTTAACACAATTTAACACAATTTAACAATTAGTTACAAAGTGAATTTTTTAATAGGAAGCCTATTGATACCCCACCCCATATTAAAAACTGTAAAGAGCAACAAAGGGCCCTGTCAGGGCTGCCTGAACCCTACTAAAATTTCTGCTCGGGATAATTTGTTAATCCAGCAAATTATATCCAGCAAATTGCGATTAGTATTCGTAACAAATCTTCTTGCTGTCCATATAATAACGAACAGATTTTGCTACAACAGCAAAAAATCTGCTGTGTCAGCAAATTATTTTTCTCCGTGCAGCAAATTGCGATTAGTATTCGTAACAAATCTTCTTGCTGTCCATATAATAACGAACAAATTTTGCTACAACAGCAAAAAATCTGCTGTGTCAGCAAATTATTTTTCTCCGTGTAATAGCGTGATACTGATCCGATATCCCCAACTTTAAATCGTCGAACCCGTCAGCAGCGACAAACAGCGCGAGAGAAACAGCTGTTTCTCTGAGATTGCATTATATAGCGCGAGAGAAACAGCTGATTCTCTGAGAATGCATTATATGGCTTTTTCCGTGAGAGAATGCATTATATGGTTTTTTCCGTGAGAGAATGCATTATATGGCTATTTCCGTCTATTACGCCGTTTACTATCATTGGCAAAGTCCCGTACGCAGGTCTGTACACACGTGCCAGTTTTTATTGCTAGTGTGTTATCTCCCACCGATATACCTACTATGCGTGCAGTAGTGGAAGACTCACGAGTCTAGTGGCGGGGCAATATTGCCGTCCAATCAACGAAGTGTCCCGTTCTCATTCCCTCACTCTTTCCGCAGTCCCCTCTTGATATAATTTTGTAGAATAATAACATCGGCAAATAATAAAAATACTTATCGTATATAAAATCGAACCCAAGTTACTTAGTAAACGTACTTAGAAGCTGATCGGAGCAGCCGTTATTGAGAATCCGATATCAACTATCTCATTCGAAAAATCGTCTCGTTAAAAAATATGTTAAAAGTGTAATCTTTGTACTCTGAGACGCAGTCGATCACTTTTTCTTCAATAGAGTAAGTTGAAGGCGACTTTAATCCTCGACCTTCTTGCATCATGGACAGTCACGACGATCAGGTACGTGAAACAAATTCTACTTCTATAGTACCCAGCAAACACAAAGTAACATTTTGAGTAATTGCCAAAAGTCTACTGACAAAATTAAAAATATATTAGGTCATATAACGAAGTGTATTTAAGGCCAATTTTTACAAGCTTGATTTCTAGGTTGTTATAATTAATTTAGTACATCGTGGTTACAGTTGCGTACGCGTTTCGGCACACGGTGCTTTCTTCAGCGCATATAGTTTATAATATTCTACTGCAATTATACATCTTAATAATTTGAATAATTAAGTATGACAAAAATTAACGAATATAATAAATATGTAATGTTGAAGGACCATCGTCGATTTAGTCGGAGTTATTTTATAAAATGTCGAGT